CTAAATACGTAAAAAACTATACAAAAAATCTCGCAGGCACTCTTGTTATGCCAAACGTCGATTTAGAGGTCAAATTTCATTTCTACGACAAACGCAGAAAGTTACTGCTGGATCTCCAAAAATTACAAAAAATATTCTGAATTTGACTTTGTTTTTTTAAATGGAAATGGATTTTTTTTCGCAGCTGATACACATATATCTGTTTTTATTTTCTCGAGAAAACCGTTGTTTGTTTCCGTAATGTAGGTTATATTTTTTGAAGTATTGTCTGGATTTGTTCTTGTCGTAGATATGGAGGCTTTTAGATAAGAGGCTGTATGCTTGATTATTAGGTGAGTGTAAGATTTTTATTGGTATTTCATGACACCAGTTTTTTTTTGTCTGAGGTGTAAGGGTACCATATTACTTTCGCTGAGTATACTAATGGTAGGGCTTATTTTATAAGCTCCTATTGTCGTTTTCATACTTAAGTGTGGGATTACGTTAAATTTATTCAACTTACTCTCGCTGGCTGATTCGTATGCTGTACAACCGTAGTCTAATTTCGATTGCTTATCCATGGTTTTTCAAGTTATCCAAGTTAATTTCATATCCATAGTCACCCGGACGTACATAACCTTCTGTCTGATCTGCATCTGTATGTAACCCATCGTCATTAGGATAAGGATATTGATCCTGTTTTTGGTCAGTAGAATAAGTTATGTTTTGCTCAGATCATGAGTGACTAAGCGTTGTTGAGTTCGAATCTGGTCATTCGTCTGTGAATCAACATCATCATGTGGTTTAGTAACAGTGGAGCTATTTTATCAGTCAACCTCATTCATAGTATTTCCAGTTGCAGATTGCGTGCGGTTATCACCATCGCCACGTCATAGATGTATGCCACCAGGCTTACTCCCTCTGGTATTTACAGTCTCAGTAATAATTTAATAATACGTTCTGGAAATCTAGAGCCAGGATGGATCCTTGGACGGTCTTTGCATTGACCAGCTTGGTTATCGATCCGTCTGCCATATCGTATGTAATCAATCTATTTCGAAAGTAGTTTCTATTTACTCAAATGAGCTATGAAGGCAAGGAGTACCAGTAGTCTCACTCCGTAACAAACGCACCGTAGTGGCAGGTAAGTATTCGTAATATCTCGTATTGCTCCTATTATTTAGCGGTGTCTCTGAAAACCGTACTGAATTTCCATCAGTCCGTCATGACCTACTATCACGTTGAACTGTCTCGGTTTTAGTAGCGGTTCATACAACTTGTCTGCAGTGTCTAAGAGAGGCTAATAGAAAGATATTGTAATCAGTTCGTCTTTCCGCTTATGCAGGACAATCAGTTTTGCAGTTTTCCATCACGTAGGGCTGACTAGCGTTATACATCTCCAGGAGGAGGACCAAGCGTGCTCGCACTATCTGCCAGAGAATCTTCCTCGGGATACAGTCTTACTCTGATGCTTTACCAGATTTGATCAAGGACACGGCTCGGCTAAGCTCTACCTTGCTAGGAATCTGCAACACAGGCAAGACTCGTTCTTCCATGAGGTTGTCCGTCATCACGTGGTTAAATAAAAGTCCGTCTACTATTGTTTTCATAGTATCTTTATCTTTGGGCTCCGAAGAACCTAAGAATTCTAGTTTCTAAGTCGCAAATTTTGTAATACAGTCACCAGGATCTTGTTCCACTTTTACGTACAACTGTCTTGCACAACGGTTATTGCTGTTCTTGATTGCCGTGTACAATGCTTTCCGGGCAATTTTGTATATAGTCACGAATCTATCTGCATCATGATTTCCCCTTTTCCGCACACGATAGACTCTCCTGTAGCAGGTGACATTTCCTACAAAAAAAACTGATATCTTTCGTCTACTAGTACATCGTCTTTTTGTCTGGATTTGCCTTGCGTCCGGTCATCGAAATTTCATATAGTCTAGTTAAGAGTTCTATTATCTTGTTAGTTATCCAGTTATCCATGCCGCTATTTCCGTCCGTAGTTCTCCGAAGAAGGTTTTGTCTTGTTTCCGTAGGTTGAAAATGATTGAAAATAAATATTATTCATACTCATGTTAATAGATAGGATGTTAATAGAAGATATATTGGATCAATTGTTCATATTGACTGCATTTTAATGTACATTATCCACTGATAAATAAAATAATGATTGATTATGTATCAATAAGTATATTTATTTTTCAAACATGATAAAATATGAAGTTTTATAAAATATGAGAATTTATTTTTGTTTTTTTTGAACAGTAAAATAATAATCAATAGATATATTTTTTACTAAAGATACAACTTATTAAAACATTTTCATTCACTAAAGTAAATTCTCCATTTCATTTTTTATAAGAACTTCACGTTAATTATTATGAATGTATGTGTATTATGAACAGTTATTATGGATTAATATTCTTTGTTTATATTTGGTCCACATGTTACAATTTAAATTATTTTTGTAATAAAAATTCAATCAGTACAAAAGTAAAAAATCAACTTTTTCATAATTCTGCAAGGTTTTGGATTAAATAGCTACTAACGTTTACAAGTATGTAATTTGTTTCTTTTGCTAATGATATCGTATGTTAATAATAGCCGATAAGTTGGTGCACAACACTTTATTTATTTTATAAGATTGAGCCGCTTACAATCAGTATGGGTACTAATAAATTATCTATGGAAAACAAACTTGATCAATATTCAAATCTCTCATGAATAATTTAAGAAAATAGATATTGCGCCCACGTTCTCATTAATATTATAATGAAATGCATCTAAAATACCGCTTACGACTGCTTAATGCCACTTTTCATTATTGAATGAGCGATTTAATATTGAAAAATGACTTCTGCTTGAACCACTTACAATATGCATATTGTATTCGCGTATAAGTTCCTATTACATAATATAATCAATTCAGAGATGGGCGTCGCAATGATCACATTGTAATTGAGAAACAATGAAAATTTTCATAATATTAAATGAAAAACAAAAAATATATAAATCAGATGAAAGTCGATTAAGCAGAGAAAGATGAAAATATAATACTAAAATCTTATCATCTTAACAACCAATCTTAACAGGAACCTAGAATATTACGTGAGCGTAATAGAAGCGCGCGCGCGCAAGAGAGAGAGAAGAGAGAGAGAGAGAGAGAGAGAGAGAGAGAGAGAGAGAGAGAGAGCGAAAAATAGAATAACTAAATAGTAGCTGCAGTAGAGTATCAATCAATCGTGCGTTTAGTGAAAAAGAAATTCAAGGTGAGACATATTACTTTCACCTATATGGAAAAGGCGTATTATCGTGTATGTAACGTATATGCGGGCGCGGAATGATGATAAACGATCTATTTCCTGAAGGCGCTGCTTTTGCGCTCGTTAGATCACTATGCGCGTGGGCAAGACTTTCTTCAATGACGTCGCACACACAATGCCGAATTCCTGGCGAGGCCGGCAAAATTGGGCCGGTTACATATTATGGGAGGGGACAAGTACACCCTCGCTTTTCAATACAAAGAAAACACTACAGTGAGATCGACGTTACGCCGCGACTGAAAACTGCACCTCAGAGCGGAAGTGTACCGCGAGTTATACGATCGTGTACGTTAAACTCGTTTTCAGGAAAAACCTGCCAACGCCTCGGCTATTATAAAATCGCGATTGATTGATCTGCATATTATAGTGGAACCCCCGCATCGCTTGAAAATTTACTTCTTTTTTTTTGTAACACCCACGATCGTTTTCGTATGCGCACCTTGTAAAATTCGCGCGCACGCACACAGTTATGCGTATTGCGTAAGTGTTGTCTGTTTATTGGCGATCGGTTGTGTGAGGTAAATTATGTAGCGCGCGCGCGCTCTGGGATATATCTTGCTGTCCGTATGCGTTAATTAATGGTTTAATTTGGTGCGCTTATATACGCTTTATGAGCAGACTGATTCTTTCAAGACGATGTATCGGCAGAGTTGATGATTGACCAACTAGGCAACGGAATCGATCAATTCTATTCGTAATGGTGTATGTCAGTTTTGTAGAAAGATCTTGACAGCTCTTGTTAGTTTTGAATATAAGGTTATGTCGTATATAATAAAAATAAGTGCCATTTAAGGATTCCCATAATAATTAACTGTTATTTCATTTTCTGCAAATTGTTGCGCATAAAATAATATAATCATTTTTTGGTAGTTTTATCGTAAGCCATAGAAAAAAGAAATAGTATGAAAAATATTCGGCATTTAATACTCGAATGAGTACTAATGATAATTCTGTTTTTTCTCTTGACTCTTATTTCCAGCATACTTGATGCATTAGTCACAGATCATTTCACAATTGACTTTTGGCTTACTTTCATGGCATTGTTATTTTCAAATGCGTACCTAATACCGTAACAATAGCAAAAACTTTATTGAATATTCTGTTTAAAATTCCATTTATAATTACAAATCAGTTTATCTAATCCCTTAATTCTATGCTCATGTGCAATAACAATTAATTAAACGTTTAATCTTTCAATAAAAATAGTCGATATACGCTTATATTAGAGAAAATTTTAGTAATATCGATATACATAAATTGGTTTTTATTCAAACGTCCTTGCATCGACGGAGTTTCAGCAATGGTTTTCAATTTCGTACTACATTTTGCGGTTAACCTCAGCTGTAGAAATGCTTTCCAAAGAGTTTAGAAACTCCAATGAATCAAATTTATAATCAATGTTTTTGAACTTCTACATTTATTTGAATTTATTATAACATTATTTTTTTAACACTGTTCTTGATCTTGCTACTTTTAATGTGCTAAACTAGTCAGTGACAAGTTGGTAATATTAGTTTTGGTTATTGCATATTTTATTATAAACTACTAAACACTTGAAAATGTATATACTCAACAAGAGAAAAAGAGAATATCACAATCATTAATAATACTGCCTCATATATCTCAAAAGCGCGTGATTCTGTGCGCACGTAAACATTTTTCAAACGCATTCACACGCTAATGGACAAAAAATCAATAATATCGTCTATGAACAGGTGGAGGTGCATTTGAGTGAGCCCTCTGCAGTACAGCCAAATGGGCAGCTTTAGCTTCCGCGACCTCTGGAGTGTCGATCACACGTCCATCTTGAGCTAGAGGTGCCGGTGGTCCCTGATACGTCGATTGACCATCGTAATGACCTTCGACACTGCCACTAGACTCGTCGTCGTCGCCGCTGTAAGCTCCGTAATCGTTATAATCGTCCTTGTTGCTCGATGGACCGGCTTCGTAACTGCGAGATGCTGCTTGACTGAAGGCAGCATAATGAGCGGCCTTGGCCTGAGCCACCTCTGGTGTGTCGATTACTCGACCCTTTTATTTTTTCGAAACAAGCACGAAATGGAAAGTTAGAACTAGATGATAACTCTTACAAGATGGGTTATAGGCTTGGCAAAAGGCCTTCCCATTTAATATCGTGAGACTGGTAATTTCATCAGCTGCTGTTAGCCGTGTGAAAGTAAACTGCACGCGGTCTCTTTTTATTTTGCCTCTTCATTCGCGACTCTTTCTGTTCTCACGAATCGTTTCTGTACTTGCTAACTTGATCACGAACGGTGGTAGACGGAAAATTTCGAATATCCATTCGATTTTGGTTTGATTGTTCTTTTAATTATTGAAAAATCGAAGAAAATTTTTTGTATATGAATTCTATTCATCAATTGTTAATCAATTATGTCATTATGAATATGTTAGCTGTTTGTTAGTTAAATACACAATCGCAAGAAAATAGAAGAGGCGATGAATGGCTACTGATTTATAGAACTTGTAAAATAAATTATTCGTAGCTACTGAATAAAAAGTGATGAGCAAACGGTAAAGTATTAATAGATTAACAAAGGCACGATTGTCAAAGTGTGTCGCATATGTTATAATCTTAAGAAAGCACCGGGAACGCGCAGCACGTGCAAATAAAAATTTGTAGCTATAAAAATCACAAATGTGAAATGCTCTGTAGCTTTAGACAGTTTATGAGTTAAATGCGTTTGATTTTGAATGATTTATTGAAAAATTTATTACGTGAGAGAAACATTATTGTGTGTTACTATGATATACATTGTAATGCGCCTCGTTAGTAAATATTTGCACTAGATATTTTTACTGTAAAGTAAAATAACTTTATGCCTCGAGTCTGACACTCATACAGCAAAACTAATTAACAAGTATGACGTCGTTTTACATTCTAGTCATTCTTGGCTAAACTCTTAAAAATACGACAAATTAATACTCTGATAAAATTCGATGGAATGGAATTTTGCAGCGACTATCAACAAAAATCGAATAATTAGTTTGAATGAAAAATATCTTTATCACGCATTACCTAATCACGTGCGTATTCTGTTTTAGAGTACAGCTAAATCATGTTAGTAGGAAAATACGTTATTTGCGTTATTCAATCGATTTTATAGACTAATTAATTAACAGAATTTCTTTTATTTGTCAACGATTCAGGAAGCTTTCTTAACATTGACTAGTTATATATCCCAGTTGTTTTAATTTTAATAAAAAAAAAAGAAAGAGAATTTCATCAAGTAGTATAATCACATAAAAAGGATTTCAAAGAGTTTTTAGAGCGAACTTTGCCGATTGGAAGGCACAGATAAAAATTCAATTAAGCAATTTCCGACTCATACCAGTCTCCATTTATCTTTACTAGTAATGATACGATGTTAGAAAGTGATAATACATTTTTTCGATTATTTCACACTCACATCATGAGCTAAGGGTGCTGGAGGTCCTTGGTAGCCATAAGGTCCATGCTGAATCATAGCACTATAGAAGCCTGGATTTGAGTAGGCACCGTGAACTTGATTGACAGCACTCAGAGAGTATGGGTTGAGAGGTCGCGACGCAGCTTTTGAGAAGGCAGCTAAATGAGCAGCTTTGGCTTGAGCTACTTCAGGTGTGTCTATCACTTGACCATCTTGACCAACCGGTGCTGGAGCATAGTAACTCGCTGGACGGTGATATGGTCTAGATAGACAACCTACCACGCATAGTAGAAGGGTAACTACAGATACCTGTGATATATACAAAACGAAAAAAAAATTAAAATTAGATATGTGCTAGAACTTTGTAAAAATTATTTTATCAATTGCATTTATCTGCCTTATTGCGAGTAAAATGCTAATTGCCTGGAAAGTGAATCACGATAACAGTCGTTCGATTGAGTCAATTAGTGATTTTTTAGCTGCTGAAAAGTATATGGAAGTTTGCAATAATAGTAGAAATTATTTTGTCAGAAACTTTGGTAATAGAGAAAACACGCTTGAATTTTCCACTTTATCTAACTTTTCAAGCAATTTGAAAATGTTTAAATTATTTCTTTCAATCATTGATAATCTTATATCGCAGTGACGATGAATATTCTAGTTTTAATTATAATTAAGAATAGAAAACTTATATAACAAAAATTTCATGTTGAGGATGGAACGATTTAAATTATTACTCTTCGAGAATTTCAATTGTCCCACCCATAAATTATGGTTCTTGATCATGCAAACGTCAACAAGGCAGGAAAAGCCATATTCACCCGCACAATAATCACTTCAATAGTTGAAATACCGAAAAAACAATCAATTGTTTCCAAATTTCACGACTAATCAATTTGACAAAAATTAAATAACTAGTTTTTATTAATATAGCCGCATATTACTCAAAATTCATTGAAATATTTTGAAAAAAAACAAGCGATTATAAACAAATCACTCACGAGGGAGTCCATGACTATCGAGTACCGCTTGGTATATCACCGGAATCACCCGATTCTTTTTGATTTCTGTTGTCTCGCAAGTCCTCCATCGGCTTTATATATCCACGGGCAATCGGTATAATTATTGCTCAAGTGAGAAGCATTGTCCCCACGAGACTATCCACAGCAGAGGGTTTTCTAAGTCTATAGGTAGAATCACTGGACCGAACAGTTGCACACAGGTATTCGGAGTTTCGCAGCTTGAGCGTGAAAGTTATACGGCGCACTAGCTGAACGATGACGACGACGCTTGGATCCATAGCTCACCTTTCCAATTACGCACCTTCGATGATTTAATTAACCCAATATTTCGGTAATCCGACCAAATTTCTTTTTCCTTTTTCGAAACACCTCTAAGCTGTTATGTTGTCATAACAGTTTTGACAGGGCTCTATAGTTACGTCTTGTTATATGATCTGTGTCGAATCTTTTTGCTAAACGTTTTTTGCTACCTGAACGCACTGATACCGTATAATTGCAGTATATGTAAATTGATTTTGCAAGTGTTATGTACCAATTGAAACACCGATCTATACTTTCTAGACTACAAATGAAAATTTAGGAAAGCAACAGCCATATAAGTGTATACACACATGAGCTGTAATCTTCAACACCCCGATTACAACAGAGAACTAAGGCGTGCAGAAATCTAGTACGCATCGCTCGATAATTAGGCTCTCTCTTTCTCTCAAACCAATTAAATTGAGAGCTCCTCGATGCGCGACCTACAGCACGTCCTTGACTTGCTCCATACATGTATAATGCTAGCTCCCTACACGCTTGGGCGCGTAATACGCATATAACCACGCGCAATAAAGAAGAAACAGGGGATAGGCGTGCGTGCGAGCCAATCAATTTCTATATTCGCACCTCCATATACTAGCTTCGCAAAGTTTCGCAAAAACCAATGTTCCGCTTACGATTCAAGCTTGAAATCGTGTCACGCGCGCACTAAAGAATTCTATCACGGATGGCAAGCCTTTCATTTATGTTCATTCATCGCTGCATGATAGAACCTTTATTCAAACAAGAAACTCGCTTTTATTTATTAAATAATCTGTTATATTTTTACAGCTCTCGATAAAATTCTTGCTAGCCGACTGATCAGTTGCTAAACACGTTTGCTCGACAGATCATTAAATAATCACTCAATATGATAAACAATATATGAAACGATATGATGTATCTAAATTTGACATATTAATTTATAATAATTGTGCATATTATACGGAGAAACATTTTTTCTTGATAATGAGAAATTACGGTTTATGAAATATCAATCGACTCTCTTTATGATTTTAAGAACTTTGAAGGAGTTTAAATGTTGAACAGGACGCGGTTGCATAAAGGATTTTATCTTTGTTTATACCAATACTATCCCTCAATTTTTCAATAACTACGTTATATCTTTTCATTTGAACCGGTATGAATAAATAAATCAGGAAGAAATCATGTAAATTGCAAGTTTCATTTGAAAGATTTTGTTCGCACTTCCGTAAAATTCTCATATATTTGACTATCATTATTATATAAGTAGCAGCGGCAACTATATAAATACGGCGAACTGGATAATGACAACTTTCCATAAAAGAACATCAAAACATAAACTTGACACATTTCTTCATGAAAATGCTTGCATTTCCTGTCTCTCATTCAAGTACACTTTTATGAAATTGCTGTTGAGATATACAACTACGCATTCGCGCTAATGCGCACAAGTGTTTCTAGAAAATCGCAACACCCTTGCGCGCTTATATAAACTTTATAACTGATTGAATAATTGTTGAGTCGCGAATGTACAATTTAGCAACTCCCACTATAAGAAATACAAGTGCACTACCGTTGAGCCATTTTTGTGCATTCGTCGATATATTATAATTATGCGAGTTCTTTCACTTTTTACTACGATCGAAAAATCGCATTTCACCTGATAAATCGTGTATAACTCACATTTTGTTATACTATAACTTGTTATAAATCGATATCTTATGAACAATGACAATATCTCAAACGACTGTTCATTATTATTTGTGTGATTTATATTCTGCTACGTAACGGAAGTTTCAGTGGGCTCCCAGTGTAGATCTTACAAAATTCGTAGTAAACATGTGTGTATAATATGAATTGTCCATTCAATTTCCTTATTAAAATGATTAAAATGTCTTCGTTAATATTAACTATCGATAAAAAAGTTACGTACCTCCCCTTTGTGCTGTCAAGAAAATTCTCCAACGAAAATGAATAATTGCTTCAAAACTCGATATAGAAATACTATTACAACTACCAGTGGTAATTGATTTTTACGTGCAACAGAATATGACCAAACCATAGTGAAAATAATAATTGTTTCGAAAACAAAATTTTTTTATGTACTCCTTGCTAACTATGGCTACAAAAAAAAGTATCAAGATTACGACCAGCCGAACGTTAAAAATGAAACATAAAATGCATACAACGACGACTCGGCCACTATCACAAAAGACACGCCTACTTTCGCGCCCTTCTTACATCAATACACATTCCACTACTTCCTTGCTATTACATACTCCACATAGCTTGGAAATTGTGTGCGATCGTAGACGCGTTGAGTGTACCGTCGCAATGCAATTTCGTTTCTGCTGTCCTATCCTGTCATCAGAACTGGACAATTCTTTTTTCCTTTCAATTCATTTCTTCGGTTGATATAGTATGTTGCAGGTCTGGATCATTTTTTTGGTTTTCTTTGATTAGTCCTTTGGAAGTTCTTGAAACGTAGTACTAATGATTGCTCTTAATTTCTATGTAAAAATAATTTTCTTTGTGCACATTAATTTCAACGGAAACTTCGATTTCGTTGAAATTTTTACACACTTTACAAGATAATTTAAAAAAAAACATGAAAGATTTTCATTTGCAAAGCCACAATTGCGAGCTTTATAAAATAAATTCCACACATGCCGTTTATTCGTTTCATTAAACAGAGGTAGTGATTCGTTTCCTATGCGCTCTGGGCTTAGAAGAATGTTTGCATAAGTCTGACTTTTTACTCTTGTATTACTTACACAAACTTCTGGTAGTCGAGACCCTTAAGAAAGTAATTAATGAATTACGTACCAATACACCTACGCTGGTATTAATCGTTTAGATTGTTGATCAATATAGGTTGCACTTTTTGAGATGAAAAGTCATTATTATTTTCTGAAAAAAATGATTTATAATTAATTTAGAATTATACCTGATTTCGTTGCTGATTACTGAAAGGGATTATACCGTATGTTTACTGTACATTTCTATCAATATGTAATCTTTGATATTTCTTACGCAAAGCTATCTCCTATAGCTCTTAAAACTCACTGCTGAAAAATGAATGACACGCACATTACCACAGTTCTTGTATCTATAAATCACGAAAAATATATTAGCACGTTACATTTACCAATTAAATCAAAATAAAGAAATTCTGTAAAATAAAAGAGATCATTTTTAAAGTATTCAAATTATTTTCTTGCTCATACTTTTTACTAGAATTTTTAAAAACGGAATATACTATTCAATATGATAGACTTTCGTTTATTTTTTACTGTCTACACGTCGTAAATAGTTGCAGCTCGAAACCCTTTATTATAACACGGTGAAAAAAATTTTTATTATTTTACAAATTTATGGAAATTGATTTTTATAATTCTTATATAACATTTTTTCATAAACGTTGACAGTACTGATTAAAATATTTTATATTGAACTGCATTCATAACAATTTAAGCAACCGATTATGTTAATAAATAAATAACAAATTGAAAATGGTATACAAAATTATTGATATATAATTCTTAAGACTTCGACCTGCGAAAATGATGGTGATATTACTTTTTCCATGAAAGAGAATGCTAATTAAAAAATGAAATTGTAAATTTCTAACCAAGTATTTAAATAATTGAATATTCTCACTCTAATGATAATATTACAAGCCTTATTTATCAGCGGCGCGGTAGGACTGTCACCTTAGCTGGTACGCCAATAATAAAGCAAGGTACAACTCGTGTTTTTTTGTCTTTTCTCTCCAGGTAGATTATCTTTCGTGTGCCTCGCACGTACGTTTATATTCTAGGCGTGAATGTACCTACCTTGAAGAAAAGAGAGTAAGAATGAAGTTGCCAAACATATTATAGAGCTCGGCCGATTTGAAGTGTTATTGCGTGAAAATAATCGCGTTCGCGCTTACATGCGCATAATGCTCTCTCTCTCTCTCTCTCTCTCTATGTGTGCATTGCATAGGCTACAGGGGTCTGTCGTTGGGATAGTGGTGGGGAAGTCCACGTGCAGCAGGCTTACTTTTACGAAGGGGGCCCCCTCAATCCTACGAGGCACCTTCGTATACATGGATCTTTATTGTTTCTCCTGCTATATAAACTGTTTCCAGCCACTGCACCGTCGTAGAACTCAGCACGAGCGCTAACCAACGAACATGAGGCTCCTCGTGAGTACACCTCTTGTTTATACAACTTCGTAGTAGCTTGCTGGTGATGGTTACATATACACCTGTGCTTTGGAGTTTTCGTTTGTATATCGAAATTTTGCGTAGTTTGGTGGTTTTTTGGAAGCGCGCAGTTTTTGCGTTTTCATTTTCATCGAAATTTTTTTTTTAATTTGCGGCGTTTTATCAACTTAGTGCGCGATAGCATATTTAAAAGCTGTTTAAATGTTGTGTTTTTTTTCTAGTTATCCTTTACCAAATTATTTTTTTTTTCAAACTTTTAATATTAGAAGTTCGATATATTTTAATAGTAGTTCTTCTACTTTGACATGGTACTGAGGTAGACGATAAAAACAATATTTATTTTAAAGTTATAATTATTTCATACTAGAAAAATGTTAGTTTTTCCATTTCAAAATAAAAATTGAAATCGGCAATAGTCGGTCTGGCTAAATAACCACTAGCTACATTGAATAACTATAAAATATTTTAAATAATATAATAATAATACCAGTAATATTTCAATATCATTAGTTTTGCTCGACATTGAAATTAAATGCTAGAGACATTTCATGGGTTAGCATAATATGCAAACTTAATCGTACGTTTAACGTGTGCAGTAAGTCATGTGATTAAAAGTATTTACTCAGCACGACAGACCAAACTCACAGGCGTGAAGTCATGAAATAAAATATCATTTGATCAGATTGAATTTGACGTTTAGCCTTTAAGTGAAAACTTGATTAATTATTAAAATGTTTCATTCCACGTTTTTTTGAGTTTAATGAAATTGATAATGAATTGTAAAACAGATCCGTTGTTGTATGAGTGTTGTCAATAAAAATACTTATTATTTATTGAATTTTTGTAACAAAATGTAAAGTTACAAGTGAAAACATATTTTTCTTTGTTTTATACATGAAAAGTAATTAGACTAAAAAAAGTAACATAGTTGGCTTAGCGAATTTAGTTAAAAAATATACCGTTTCCCATCGCAAATTGTCTTATCAATCCTCACGTGTTTCTGTTTGATGCGTCTAACAATAACAATAGAACAATTAACACAATTGATATAGCAAGTACAACAGAGATGCTCTTTTCCATTTTAGATTGTCTTGTCAACCCTCGCAGTGGCGGTCCTTGCCCGACCAGAATATCATCATGGTCCCGACGTACACTCGTTCCAGGCGTACCACGGACCTCTGGCTCCACTCGCACACGACGGTCGAGTAGTCGACACTCCCGAGGTAGCCCACGCCAAGGCAGCCCACTTCCACGCTTTCAACGAGGAATTGTCCAAAGTCCCTCACGGTCCTGATCTCCACCACGACTACCACGAAGAGCACCACGAACCAATCGTACACCACGCTGTCGCTGCCCATCACCCAGTTGCTGCTTACCACCATCCAGAACCTGAACACCACGCGTACCATGGACCACCAGCTCCCCTTGCTCATGATGGTCGCGTCGTCGACACACCCGAGGTAGCTCACGCAAAGGCCGCTCATTTCCACGCCTACAACGAGGAGCTATCAAAGGTCAGCCATCATCCCCATCACGGTGGCCCTGAGATCGCATACGGCCACTACTAGGTGTCTCACAATGCCTGGCTATAGCGCATACTATGACGATTAAGCAGCGATTAAACTTACTCATTATCTGTATACCTCCATTGACACGTACATATCATGCATATATTTTACATATACATTGACGCATACACACATTCACAGATCTGCACTTGACCGGTTCTCGTTTCGCCTGTCACGATCTTGCGCGCAATCGCCTTTTGCTCGACGGTTTTGGTTTTGACATTTGAACATTCTTGTCGTGCAATACTCAGCTCAAATATTATTTACAGTTGATATTTGTACTCGATACGATTTTGGCTACGGAACATGTGACAGTTACTAACAACGTATATGAACGAGTGTAAATATGGAATGAATCATTGTGTGAGAAATGCTAATAATAATGTTTGCCATCTCCTTCTTTTTCTCAACTTTCGTAGGAGCTTTTTATGTAGCTTTAGATCTGTTTCTTCTCTTTCTCTTTCTTCTTTCCATCTATTGTATCATATCTGTCTGCAAACATATTACTCAGCACGTAACAAGGCATAGAAAGGTTGTTGGCAAGCCTATAAGTTTAAGAGTTGGTAATTTTATGTGTTTTCAGTAGAGGAAACTGGCTTAGGTACGAGAGAAAGAAAATGTAATGCGAACACGTTAGTTCGATTATTGAAGGACTTTGATTTTTGTAAATGTCACACGGAAACCTTTGCTGTATTGCCAATTGAAAATATATTAAATATTGCTCTTGTTTAAACAAAATCAATGTAAAATACTATTGCACGCCTTATTACGACGACGTATTTTCTAAAAGCCGTGTCTTCGTGCTAAAAGAATTGTACACACACATTCACCTGAAAATCATACTCCATAGACTTTATCATTTTTTTAGATGCCTTTCTATTCGGCATCATACAATGTTTTTCCTTTAACTTCATTAAGCCGCATTTAATGATGACTGGATTACAAATTGTGCTTTTGCTTGCTTGGAAGAAAATTGTTTCATACATATTGTGTAAAAAAAGCCTGAATACCATTTTCTCGCATTTTTGTTAATATTGTACCCAAATATATTATGTATATGTTAAGAGGAAGCAAATATATTTTTGATATTAAAAATCAAATCCGTCGATAATAATAATTTCAACTTCTACCCTTGTTGAAAAATTGAATTATTGATAGTTTTTCTATTAAAATAAAGCTATCCATATGCATCACTTATTCAGTGTTAATTAAAACACCTGGTAAGAAAGCTCTCAAGACAATTAATTTTGTCCTTCAACCCATCATACTTTGAAAATATAAATTACAAATCATGTGATAACGTGTAAATAGTTTATATCAAAAAACTAATTCACAAAGCTGTATTCCAATCGTGCAGGTTTCAATAAAAATAAATCGTTTAGAACTTTTATCTCGTATTGTAAAAAAATATCTTTGCATGATATAAACTTTATTTGTTATTTACATCATTTAAACATTTGAACGACATTTAATAAATTTCGTTTTTATGCATTATTGTATTTATTACATTAGTTTTCTTTTTTGAAGCGTGTTATATATTACTAAGAAACACATCAGTATGCAAGCGTAAGTTCGTAGAGAAAAAAAGTACCTACAACTTTATCACGATAAATAGAAATAACGAAACAGGTAAAGGAGAGCGGACTATATTGAAGAAGTGTAATATAATTAGGACTTAAAATCATAAATCTCTGGGTTATGCCGCCGTTGTCGTCATGTACGTCGCAACTATATTATCAATCACATTACATAACGAGAAAGCCTAACACGCATTTGTAAATTTACTCTGTGTGTGTGTGTGTGTGTGTGTGTGTGTGTGTGTGTGTACATGTGCGTGTGTATGAGCACAAGCGCTGATAACAACAAACATGAATTGTATAACGAGCGTCACGCAATAGGAGGCCGGTCTCGTTTGCAAACTTTCCAAATGGTCCTACTGATTGCCTTTGACTTCAAATATCAAAGTACCATAGCTTTTTTTATAACAGATGAATGTGTTACAGTTTAACTTCGCATTGACCTTTAATGATTTTGTTAAAATTATTCTTTATTTTTCATAATTTTTTGTAGTTTAAAATTTTGATTACAATTTTGCTGACATTACATTGTTTTTGAAATTTGCAAAATACCGTTGTTATTTTAAACAATTAATATCTTGCATCAATACTTTTCACCTTGCAACTTTCTCAACAATATTTGAAATATTTTTTAATTTGAATGTCATTTTTGAACATTTTGATATTTTTGATATTTGAATATCATGTAGATACTTAATTACTTTTATCAGCTTTTTCATCGGCATACGATTCTTATGTTTTCTATGCAGAGTTGCAAAGTTTCAATCATTTATTTTATTTATGAGTTAGGCATAAATATTATATAATAAGTCATATAGGGCTTTCTGGAGCGGAAAAATGAAATCATCAACAATTATTTTGCTGATAATAGCATTATGTGCATGAAAATTCAGTTTGGACTGAAAATAATTTGTTACTTGGGATATAATTACGAAGCTCCAAAGGTCTAGTCTAGGTATAAAAATGTTGCATCAAGACTAAAAATGACCTTACTCCTGGTACGAACACCCGTCATTTATTTACCTGTATCTGTGTGTAATAGTAAACGATATATGCGAGAGTCGAGATCACACGATTGATCGCCGGACACAATGTGTCTGCAGCTACGGCATTTCACCTTCGTTGAAGCCGGTTACCGCCTTGCTCGCGTCGCGAGCACGTGCACAACCTGTGCCTACCATAAGACAAGAATGCGGCACTCGCGATTTTTGCAGCGGCAATGCTTTTCGCTAGTATACACATACACACGTACGCGCAGAGCTCCAAGGTCACACGATCGACTGGAGCTCTATAAATCGATACTTGTCCTGGTCAGCGATAATAATTTCACATCTTGCGCACTAGCCTGTTGCTGTACTATTCTGTATGTGCACCGTGCAATTTAGCGTGAAATCCGAGAGGAAAAATAGGAACAAATGCGACTACAGTTTAGTTTTGCAAAATGCACTCTAATGAACAAAGTATATGAAGCGATTTGAAATTATAACAGATAAGTGTTGGTGAACGTGCGGTAGTAGTATTTCGATTTGTTATATATGCGCTGATTACCAGGATAAAGCACCGCGAGTGGATAGCTTTTCCATGTAATTAAACGCTCGCGTATACGCGCTTTGGCGGAATTCGGAGAAATGTATGCTTGATTTATCGCTCAAGTTATGATGTTCGAGTTGGAAAATTAATAACTCGCAGGGAGCTTACTGCATTAATGGCCTGTAAATCTATTAGTGCGGAATTGTTAAACGGCTTGTTTATTTTTTCTTCGCTTTTTTGGAAATTTTTCAAACTTTTTTTTTCATTGACAATTTACATACAGATTACCTGTTGATTACAAACTACAGAAATAAATAAATAGGAGAATGCTCTATCTATTGACTTTATTACATAAGTAACATACATTTTCATTGTGAAGTATTGCATGAATCTTCTTTGATCGGATTAGTGAACTATATAATAATTAAAATTAAATTAATTCATCAGACCCTACTCAGATAAGCTAATCGGTGATTACAACTTTATGATGGTTAATATTTTTATAATTTAGAATATTTTGATATTTGTTAGATTTTTATTTAAATAAATACAAATTATTATAGCACACCTATAAGTATCATGAAGAGGATTTTTGTATCAGAACATCATTTATAAGTATGTAAATATTATCTAAATTCAGTTTAAGAGATTTAATATTCAGTAATTAACGAACAATTAACAAAAGTGATTCACGGTATTATAGAAATGAAAACCATTAATTTATAACGACGCTTTATTGATTACATATTAAGATATGTCTCATGGGGCATGTGATAATTAGCAAATAATAATCTAGATTGTTCTGGTAAACGGACCGACCAGTATCTGTAATTAAATGCGAATTTTCAATGTTACTGTAGAATGTCTTCAAGTGCGTGTTCTTAAGGCTCCCTCTATCGTAATACTTTTGCAAATACTTGAACAACGTACGTATGTAGTTACCGATAAATGTTTAAATAGTACTGTATAGTAATCAAATTTAATACGCACACGCGCGCGTATGTATGTATGTATGTATGTATGTATGTATGTATGTATGTGTATATATATATATATATATATATATATATACATATATATATATATATATATATATATAGTTGAAATTTGTACAAATGCTTAAATAGTTGCAATATTTTTTCATTAAAATTTATATTTCGTATATTCTGAAAGAAGTTAATAATATTATATAAATATCACACCTATTATAAAAAAGTAGAATGCAATAATCTACAGAAAGAAAAACTATTCATTCTTTCAATATGTTTGAAATATTCGTTAACATACTTTTGTTCAATTTCGAAGAAAGTCATATTGGTTTAAATTTGGGTGGTGAAAATATGGATTGGATCTCAATATGAGTGTATACTGCAAAAGATATTGGCAAAAATGTTTTTAAGTCAATGCATCTTTCAGTTTTTGTACAATTCTTGTACGTTCTTTCATGTGTAATTTTGTAAGTTTTTTCGCGTGCAATTGATGTACCAGTGGAAGCGTATTGATTATTGAAAAACATTTCTCAATGTGCGATTCTAAATTTATAACTTACATTGAATGAAAGGAGAATATGTGACATATGTTAAGCTATCTTTTGAAAAATTTTTAATTACTAAATAATTTTATTATTACTGTGTATTCCTATTAAAATAATGGAACCACGAAGCAAGAAACGCCTAATTCAAAAAGTAATTAGAATATAATAATTACTTTATATCCATATATCAATACAGTAAAATTTGAATCGTCAAATTATATAAATTTAAATTTAATTCACAAATAAATCAATATGATTTACTCCAACTTTTATGTAACAGAATTCAAAATAAAAATTATTTGATTATCTTATTAAATCGACTTTTTTTTATCGATTTGCTATAACAAATTTTTAGAACAATGATTTTGCTGTAGCGTTAACCAATTACAATGTTCCTTTTGGTCGTATAACTTGATAGACAGTATTATGTCAAGCCGTAGGCGCTATAAAAATAAATCATTGCCAGAAAATTATAGTCCAACATTTTTGCGAAATTGGCGTATTATTTGAGAACAATTGCTATTTTTTTAAACATGACAATTAAAGTTCTGCATACCGCCATAAAATTACATAATATCTGAACGATAAGAAATAGTAATCATCCAATATATGGTAAGTAAATCACTTATGAAAGATTATAAATAGATTCTTGCTGTAAGTAGGATTTACGAATATGAACATTTAATTAACCGAAAGAATCAATAAAACTAACAAATGAATTTTTAAATTATCTTATTTGTTCGATATCCAGCTAAAAAATGCTTTAAGCAAAAAAATCGTCAATCAAATTCAACACAAATGAATTGCTCGTTTTACAATCTAATGATGTAGATAATTATGCATTACGATTATGACAATTATGCATACTTATATAAAATACTACTCGCTTTTACTTATTTGTTTCATGTTCAAGTTGACGAAATATTAATTTCTAAATCTACTGAAACCTGTTACGAACATTAGATCAATCGATCGATGAATGAAAGTAGTTCAGACGAATTTCTTATTTCTTATCCTTATCCAATTATTTTCTTATATAAATACATACACTGGCTGTATCATTATTAATATTTACCAATTTTTGTGATAAATTCATATGATATGCTAGTAATTATCATTCCTAAATAATTTTTGTGGCGTTCAAATTTGATAACTGATTTTTAGAATATAAATTTTTAGAACTAAATTATTGTCAATAAACGAATGTTAAGTGGATAAATTAGCTTAAGTTTTTAAATTATTTTTAAATTATTTTATGTAGAAGTAGTTTTTCTTTCATTTGTCCAGGTATTTTGATTTCTTACAGCGCTTTGAAAGGAAACAGCAATGCATGCTAATACCGCAGAAAATGATGCAATAACATTAGTCTTAACGTGAACTCAGTCTGTTCAAGCTTGAAATGTCAAAATATAACATGCATTAAAACTTTGAAACTTTGTAAATAAACAGCGGTTGATGAATACTAATTAACGAACTATGTAAAGTATTTAACGATATCATAGTTGTAGCGATCGCTTATTAATTAAATAAATAAATAATGTAAGAATTGAAGGCTTTGTTGAACAATCATCGCGATTTGAAAATGTTTACATTTTGATAGTAGTGAATGTATCGTGAAATTTTTACTATATAGATGATAATTTTAATACTACTAAGATCATGTCAGTCGCTTACTGAATGAGTGATGGAAGTATAAAAGACTTCGTAAGGCTATTTGCAAAATTTTCTATTCCCATAGCAGTAAAATTTGGAACACGCAATTGATGATTTCAATACGTATGGCATAATCGCAAAAGCACGATGAGTTAGCTTGAATCGGTATAAATTAAAGTAGCTATACTCGCCGCCCTCGATGCGTCAGTAGCAAGCTGCTGCAGCAGCATCCGAAATGAATTCTTGGATACCACAGATAAATAGAAACACCCGACTCATCGGGTGGCGACTGACTAAATGTCAATGTTAATAGCGAACTGAAACAATGGGCTTGCGAGCAAAATTTACGCAAGGTATAGGTGAGAGAGAGAGAGAGAGAGAGAGAGAGAGAGAGAGAGAGAGAGAGAGAGAGAGAGAGAGAGAGATATGCATACAGGACAGAGGTGGAGATTGCAAAGGGGGCAGCGACATAGACACATACACATACGCACGCGTGCTTGCCATTATTCCGCTTGGGTGTGTTACAAGCTTGGGTCCCAAGTTGCAGGTCAGGACAACGGGCGCAGGGGTGGGGCGGCTATGTCCCCCCGAACTCGCGCTATAAATCGACGGATCCAGAGCGCCAGCCAGCATGTGCAACCGGGAACGCCGATCTAGGAGTACAGCGAGTCAGAGCGAGATTCCATACAATATGATCGCTATTGTGAGTATTTATTTCATTGACAACATTCCTTTCTATTTATTTGTGACAATTCTTGATGATGCAATTGTCTAAATTATTTCATTTATTCTATGCAGATTGCTAACATTTGGTTGGATTGAATGAGTAGATCTATAACTTGTTTTAAATGAGTACAAAGTATTATTATTTTAATTTTACCGTAAATTGTTTTTATTTTACGGTGATATTTTGATAATAAGAATAATCTTACGCTTATAAATTTTATATTTTACATCTAAATGCGCGAATTTTTGTTACGTAATGAATCTTCTGGTATAAAAAATAATTGTGAATAAAAGAGTTTTAGTTTATTTTATTATAATGTTCTTAAAACACTTTTGATTCCTTTCAAGAATTTATTTACAAATGAAAGCAGTATTTAAGTAGAAAATATGATCTTCCATTTCAAGAAAAATATTTTGATGTTCATTTTATTGAACAGTATATCTAGCGATAATTATTAGTTTTTTCCAAAAATTACGTAACATAATAAATATATAACAGACGTATAGACGATTGAACGATCTGGTAAATTTTTCACGTTGCCTTACCATACGATTTACCATAAGAACAATTCAACACATGATGTAACGATTTATCTAAATCGTATGTAGTTTTTCTCGCGAGCAACATGCAACTACTTATCTAGTTACAAGAAAGCACATTGACAGTAATTTTATATTACAGCTATTGGTTCGTTAATTAGCGAAGTGAAGAAAAGCGTGATATAACAAATAGCAGATTTCACCACAAGCTTTGTAAGCAAAGCCTTTGGTTTGTACGAAACAAACGATTTTCGATCATCGAGATTAGGCTCGTCAAGAAAACCACTTGTTTCGTCAAAAAATCTCACTGACATATGCGGTCAGTTATAGTTTTTATACCGAAAACCGGAAAGTTACGGTCAAGCTGCGTTCTTGAGGTTAGAGAAGTAAAAAAATCATTGAAATACCGACCAATTTGTCAATACTTACAGATTGAATAACAATAGTTGTTACGTTCAATTAAGAGTCCAAATAAAATTTTTTATTAAAACTTTCAATAGGTATAATTTTAGAATTTATATTTCGAAATCGTGAAAAAGTTTTTTTATCATAATGACTATTATTATTAACATTTTTTATAAATCGATCAGCAATTGTCAAATAAATAATCAGTCTCTTGTTCCATTCCAGCTTTTGCTTTCGCTGGTATCGACAGCCTTGTGCGCGCCACAATGGCCAGGCGGTCCAGCACACTATGCGTACCACGCGCCCGCTGCGCCCCTCGGACCTGACGGCCGTGTCATCGATACACCTGAAGTAGCCCAGGCTAAGTCCGCTCACTTTGCAGCTCTTGCCGAAGCCGCGGCGCGTGCACCTAAAGGTGGACCAGGTCCCTATGATGGACCTGCTTATGGTCCAGGACCATACCTTGGCGGTGGTTATGCGCCACACTACAGGTAATTTCTTACTTCTTGCTCGTAATTATTTTATCTGGTATACTTGCAGCCGCTTATTTACTTTGATTGTTTGAAATAAATTGCACACAACGTACTTTCCATTTTAGTTATAGAAAGTATATTTTATTATTGTGGAAAGATTGTGCCAATAGTCTGCTACAAATGATCAAAGTATATTGAAAGTTAAATATCACCAGCAATACTATTGTTTATTTATTAATGTACCATTAAAAGGTAGGATTGCAAAATGAATCTGAATTACAAAAATTTTGCAGTGGTCCACCTGCTCCCTTGGGACCTGATGGTCGCGTAATCGATACACCCGAGGTCGCTCAAGCTAAAGCCGTCCACTTCTCGTTGTACAGCGCGGAAGCTCAGAAAGCCGCTGCCGCAGGACCTGGCCCAACACCAGGCCCATACCCAGGTGGTCCAGGTCCATATAACGACGGCTCTTATAACCCAGCTCACGACTACTATTAAATAGCGAGCAATCGACACTTACATCACCCCAAACTAATACTCACCACAAGTAGCGCGCCTCTCCGCTTTACGGTCTTTTATAGTGGAAGCAATGGGTTCGATGATTCCAAATCCTGAGGGAATGTATAACGAAGCTGTCAAAGTACAAATAGAATATTGTCTCTGTACAAAAATACCTCTGAAACTTTGTGAATCTGTCTATTTCTCCTTCGCTGCAAGCAGACTTGTAGATTAAACTCAAAAGTTTCGATTTTTGTATAGAGGTTAATCGCTTGAAAGACAACAGCAATCAAATTTTGCTGGCAAGAGTTAGAAAGACAAAACATTCGTGACAAGATTGACACTTCGAAACCGGAAGTAGAATGTGAATGGTGTGACGTTTAAAGCTTTAGTTCGCCCTCTAGCCGACAATAAATTTCACTCGACTGTATGCAATTAGCAATCTTACGTAATCCAACATCATATCATGCATCCACATAGCGCACAATAATTTTTACTCTTTATCTACCTCTATATGCAAATGATTTTGGATTAACTATCTTATAAAAAAGGAAACATAGACTTTATTTCGTTTCTGTAGAGGCACGTGTAAATTGCACTTTACGCGAGAGTCTTAATCGATCGTTCACTGCTTTATCTCGCGTGCGAATTCGCAAAAGAAAGAGAGAGGGAGAGTTACTGTCTATAGGTCGTTTCGCAATTCTCAAAACGAATCACAGCATAAGTACAAGCGTACCACGAAGAGTGTGACATAAAAACAAGTCAAGGCGCATGCCACAGAGAGAGAGAGAGAGAGAGAGAGAGAGAGAGAGAGAGAGAGAGAGAGAACAAGAAAGAATTGCAGCGGTCATAGATCTGACTACAGGCACCTTCTGGATTACAAAGTCGCGGGGCGGCAAATCGTAAATCTTGAGTTGAGATATTTCGCGTTGCGTTTCGAGACAACGAGAAAATCGAACGATCGGGCAACGCCCAATAATTTTTTCTCTTTCTCGACATGTATATGCATCTCTCTCTCTCTCTCTTTCTCTCTTTCTTTTGCTTTGCAATGGATCTCCCACGTGCCTCCACGCGCTCCGTTCTAACGCGTACACGACTATTATGCATTCTTTACACCTCCATGGCGACACTTTCTGTATTTTCTCTTTCATCTGCTTTGTGCTCGATTGCTGGCTTGCCTTTTTCAACGGCAACCTTCAATTTCTTTTTTCCCGCACGGGGGTCATTAAAAAATTCCTCTTACGTCTATTTTTTAGCACTATCACTGTCTCTTGACTTACCATTATTTTCTCTCCTACATGTGAACTTCGGCTAATAGAATTTTTTATGAAAAGCGAGAGGAGTGCCTTCCTTTATCGACACAGTTTTTGGCGTCGATAGCTTTGTATGACTGCGAAAAAATTCCTTTATATTATGTATAAAAGTTTATAATTTTTATATATTATATAGCGTCCTTGTAATAAAAATGTGATTATTTTCTCAGAATTACTGCTTATTCTTTAAATCCTACACTTTATGATGTATATTCTTACTATATTTTGTTTACTTACATTTTTGAAGTAGAAGAATAACAGCAAACAAGTCAGAAATAAATTTATAAGAAAAAGAGTCTGTTCTATTGATGTGATTTCAAAGGATAATATGGTCTTTCAATTACAAGACAATATGCAATCAAAGTACACAACACAACTCTTATTTTCAAGACATACCAAACAAAAGTGCTAGATAATTCCTTGGCAGCATGAGAAAAGAATTTTTTTTTTGCTCGTTGTGATTACATTTCTTTACTCATAGTACATACAAATGAAAATGCCCGCTTTCACGTAACGATATACATTGTAGCGTACAGAAAGGAAAAAAAAATGCAAAACGATAGCATGGAGTGATATCCGTACGCGTAATTGTACCACGCACATGTTGCATAGGCAGGCGATATTGATTAAAGACGCCGATAGACTTATGCCGACAATGATATAAAAAACGGATAACCGGCCAACGTAATTATCGATAAAAGAATGGTTAAGAATAATAGCGTTAGATAAGGTAAGAGCCAAGGATTTCTCAGACAAGAGAATGATAAAAGGTTCGAAGTTCAAGTCCAGATGGTGTGCATATTTAATCAATCTCCCTCGTGCCTTGGAATTTCTCAGATAAATCGTGACAAGACTATTGAGATTTATTATGATAAATACTTGGTTTACAAACATTGTATGCGAAAAAATAAAAAAAGTTACTGTGGATACAAGAGTCGAAATAATCAAGCAAAGTTGAAAATTATAATATTTTTTAAATTATAATTGTTGCACAACGTAAATTTAATATTTTAGTTTTAAATTAAAAACTGAATAAAAAGAAGATGCTAATTAAATGTGGATTTTTTGTAACGTCAAGATCAGTTGTCCATAATCTATATCATTTCATCAGCTGAAATATAAACGGGACCGAAATATCTAATTTACAATTTTTTTTCAGTACGTATATATATATATATATATATATATATATATATATATATATATATATATATATATATATATATATATATATATATATAAAGACGCGTTCAGTCACGCTTCACGTGGAATGCGACGAAACAAGTGATTAAAAAAACTTAAGGAGTTACAAAGAAAGGAAGGGTTTACTGCATATAGAGCTGCTTTTGAATGTAAGCGAGTGCAGACAGTCGTTAGTCGCGTGCTCAAGTTTGCACGTGAGTGTTAATGTATGCTAACTACACTTATATGATTATGAGTGTGCGATAACAGTTTTCCATTTATATCTGTATGGTGTGCATTTCTTATTATTAAAGTACCTTTGCCATGTAATTGACAATTATAAAGAAACAACAGACTAATTAGAGATCTAACACTGAAAATTCGCTGTGACGTCGGAAAATACGACATGTTTCATTACGCTGTTTTTTTATCTAAACTGTCGTACAATAAAACCAAGATTAGTATAGGCTTGTTATTACTAAAGAGCTAAAAAGTTTGTCGACGTGTGTTGTGAAATCTAACTTTTCCTAGTAGATATAACTCTATTACTTTTCGGGTTAAGGAAAGAGTGAAGGCAGTGGACAAAAGTTTTAACGAGCTGAACTATAATTTTATTATAAATTTATTCGACTTAAAAATATTTCAACGTGCTACAGGACAACTTATAAAAGAGAAAAGAATGTGAGATGAAGGTTACGCAATGACAATCGATAACGATTTGAGTGAGTTGCGCTAAGCGAGTTCATCAGTCAGTCGCTTTCTTTTTTCCGTTTTTTTTTGGATTTTCCCTCTCCTGTTTTCCAGATTTCATGGGGTATCGCATGTTTTGGCTTTATCACCAATGACTCGGATTAGCCTACTGCTCCTGCTCGTGTCACGTGTCACGATTGGCTTACTGGGGGGGGAGGGGGCGACCCCGTCTTGAGCCGGTCAACCTTCGAGTTTTCTCTCGTTACGAGATTCGGAAAATCACGCTTCTGAACCTGCAAAGTTCTGTTTTCACGCCGTGACCAGGCTTTCGGGGAATGACTGAACAAAATAAGGAGAAAGTATAACAAACAGATAGATCTCATCGCATGTGTCACGAGCCTGTACCTTTTCGCCCGTACGTGCTTCTCTCATAGCATTAAACACCGAATCCGTTAATCGGATCAATCATCCTCCGGAACAATTACAGACACTTGCAAAGACCAAACTTATAATAACATTCTATCCCAGACACTTGGCGGAAATGACCATGACTCTCTTAACAACTTCACTTATCGATCGATGGCATTCGCTGATGACCTAGTTATGCTGGCTCACTTTGAGGTCAGTTTACGTATAATATCTGATCGATTATATGACGAGCTATCTTCGGACGTGTGATTTGGAGCTTAATAACGCCAAGTCGCTTACCGTGTTCATCTTGAGCTATGGTAAATCTAAAAAATCCGTCGTAGATGATAGAATGGCGTTCATCATCAATAGTCAGCCGGTGAGGTCTTTAAGCCGTGCAGATGCGTGGACCTATTTCGGGATTAACTTTACCGCCCAAGGTAGAGTCAACTCTTCTTTCAAAAGTAAGTTTAGCCCTCTACTATAGAGATTGAGCAAAACTCCACTGAAGCCCCAACAAAGAATCTTCGTATTAAAGACTATCCCTTGTGATGATGCGTCATCACAGAAAAACTATCTTACCTTACGCTAGCCCCACTCCCGATAGAAACATGCGACCGAACAGCTGTTGCCGCATAAGCTCACCCGCATATGTCCGAGATCTCGCGATTTATTATCCCTCGAGGTCTACCAAACCGATGCGCACGATCCTTACGCCCGCGTACAACCCCTCGCGCACTCACGACCCGGACCGACACTCCCCCAAGAAGCTAGACGTCCGTAAAGATTCCAGCTGGGATCAGCTGATCGCAAGCCACCGTCTAACTAGAGCAGACCTAGCTAGACCAAAGTAGGGGTAACCGAGCGCGTGAGAGCGAGCGAGACAACCGATACGAGAGCGATCGGACGCGAGCGAGTCATGAATTTAAAATTACTCATTACAAAGTAAGATTGATCTCAAAATGACTCTGGGGGTGGAGTGGGGGTCGTTTGAACCCCATACATATTACATGATTTGAACGTAAAATTTCCCGCTCTTTACAAATCCGGAGTCAAAAATAAGTGGTTCCATTTAAAAAAATGACTCTGACCTTGAAATAACCTTCAAAACCGACTTCAAGGTCAAAGTCATTGGTACCCGTAGATGTCCCCCATTATCCCCTCCAACTTTTGTCTGAAACATTTTTTCGTATGTGCACAAGCATCTGAGATATTGTCCACTATAGATTAAAATGGCCCACCCTGTAGATTCATCGCTAGTTTCCCTGACCGAACTTTTGAGCTTTCGTGCGCGAAATAAATGGTCCGGCGTTGCGTAATCGCGTTCGCAATCCTTGAGACCGTCCGCATCAACTATTGTCAACCCAAGTCGAAGTCGCGTAATGGTACGCTACTCGCCCCCCTACCAAGTTAGATTAGGTAGACCATCGTGAGCGATTGACCTTGAGCTGACCCGGGGAAATAAGTTGGTTTAATAAACTCGAGTCCTTATTAACTCATTGTTATTATTGACTTTGCCCGTTTGATTACCTTATCCCCCGTAGCTTTCGCGGTCGGTCCCGAGATTAGCGAACGCGTTTATATAAATTAATTGCCATTTCGACAATCGCTATCACAAGCCACGTAACCAGTCGATCGGGATCCTCTCCTGCCTATTGGATTTTCAACGAGGCGTCCTGGGACGCCGCTCCGATGTACCCGCTTCTGAGACAAGAGCCTCGTGCCCCGAACATCAACGTACGACGACGACGAGGAAGGAGACAGCGGGGAAACCACCCGACAACTACAGCGACCAGGAACCCACACGACAGCCGATGCTGCAGCGCTACCTGCCCTCCTAACGCGAGGACACGGTAGCTGGCGCCCAAATAAAATAAAAGCTGCATACATCGGCTGACTGCGCCGCTGGCGGCGGTCGAGGCCGGAAAAATTGACTAATACTTTATTTTTCCCCTCCCCTTGACTCGTCGCATCTTTACCGAAGATATTTTATTTGAAGACAGGGACAAGATGGTGAGAGCGTATGTCAGACTATGGTTTGGACTCTCCAACGATACACCCGTTAGCTATTTCCATACCCCGACGAACGAGACTGGCCTCGGAATACTACCTATTGAATGCCAAGAGCCTTTTTCGGAGAGAGAGGTTCTTGTGAATCATTTTGAGGCAGAAAAAGGAAGTTATTGCTGATCCCTATTTGGTATCTGAAATAAGAGTGCGTATCAAACAACTTAGCGAGAAGGGATCACCTACCTCTTCGCCGATGATATCAAGCAGTGATGGGCCAACCCTTGCCATCAGACAATCGAGTAGATCCTCGATACGGTCTGTAATTGAAAGAATCCAGAAAGATGACCAATCAACACCAGTGGGTCACAAATGGGACCAGCCTGCTCATTGGCAGAGATTACATAGTCCGCCATAAATTGAGAATGCTCCCTGCTGACTAAATCAAGAACTACCCGGGGAGTTACGGTGATCAGATCCGCCGAGCGGGATGCACGATATTGGAAATCATCAGCTATTTTCTCCAAATATGCCCCCGCACCCACGACAGCAGAATTTGTAAACACGAAAATTCCATTGGCATTCCAGTGGTAGTATCTAATGTTTCTTTTTTGGAAAAATAAGATCTCCCGTTAATCATAACATTATTTGGATAATAATTCAAGGCTTGAGATAATAATTGAAATCAATATTCTCCTACAATGCGTATGTTGGCACTGTCTGCACTGCAATAATATATCAACGTTGAAAGAAAATAAATAACTCATACTTTTTTAAAAAGTTACAAACGATTGAATATCACCACTAACGAAAAGTGAAATTCAGATTTACCCATTTTAAATTCACACACTCTCGCTTGAATAACTCCTCTGGAACGTCAGAAATTGGAAATATAGTCATTACAAAAGTTGTAGGGTTTAGAGGGAAGCTTCATATGGTAACCATGGATTTGTCCTTGAACTCAGTCTTCAAGGTCATATGAAGGTCAACTTTTTTTAAATAGAAGCCCCTAATTTTGATTATGGAAATGAAAAGAACGGAAAATTTTACGTTCAGAACGATTAAGGATCCTAAAGTCATTTCAAGGTCGAAAAGACAGTTGAGATAGAGATCCATCTTTATTAGGCCAAAAACGAAAAAAAATGGTTAATATAATACTTGTTGGGTTTCGACAACAATAACAAAAACAACAGCAACAACAACAATAATAATGATTTTATAGTGATCAAATAGCGACGTGTTCAATAAAAAAATTATAATGATAATAATAATAAAATTGACGATAAGTGAAATTGAAAGCTTAATAATACAAATTTATTCTAGAACTCTTAACAACATACACTTTTTAATAGAAAAAAGTTAACCTTTTTAAAGACAAATCCGAGGTCACCATGTAACACTTCCCTCTAAATCTTACAACTTTTGTAATGACTATTTTTCCGATTTCGGTAGTTTCAGAGGAGTTATTCGAGTGAGAATGTGTACATTAAAATGGGTAAGTTTACATTATTTTTCTCTATCCTCTGATAAAGAAGTAATAGATGCCATATGAAGCATTTTATTCATGATCTTATTGAGATGTGATCACGTGATATACTGCTATGTGATGACAAAGAAGCGTGTATGTATATATGGTTTTGAGTTGAGATTTAGTAGTAAAAATTCCATTTGTCATAATTAATACGGGTCATTTTGGAGATAATGAAAGTAATGAAAAATAGGTTGCAGTGATATTTTTTAACACTCATTTTATGAAATTTGCAGCTAGTAAATCGTTTGGTAAAAGCAAGAGATCATACTTTGGAATTATTTTGATTATTTTTTATTATAAATTGATAATTTGATATTTGAATGTGTAAGATTGAAATAAATGTTTTAATGTAATCTTTATTCAAAAGGTAGAACGTTTAATAGTAATTTGACCCGTATAATTAAAAAAGAACTAAAGATTATTTGGAGCAGTATTCGATATCATCCCTGTTGGAAATAATTTTTGCGTAAAACTGATGCACCCAGTTATTAGCAGTTTGAAATATCTTATCAACGTCAAATTTTAGAATCGTATAAAAATTATTAGCAGTTTCTTTTCTATCATTAATAATTATATATAGTTATTAATGTTATAGAATATTTCAAAATGCACCTTTCTATTATAAAATAATTTGCTATTAATTGCAGTTATGAACAGTTTTTAAATCAATTTCAAAGATATAAGTAATTGTTTACAACTGTAATAAATAGTCAGTTATCATATATGATAACTAAGATTATTTTAAACACTTATATATTGTTGTTATCATTTAATTTTGTTCGCCTATAAGTACTTTTTGTGTCTGGTATTGCAAATTAATAATTATAATTAATAATAGTTACTAATTTTTTATCCTAATAGGTAATTTCTGGTCATTGTTATTTGTAGTTATTTATATTTATTTGCATCTATTATTTCTCAAAATAAATTTGTCTTGCTGAACAAAAACACAAATGACCGATAGTAACTGAAAGAAACTGTTATTATTTAATAATGATAGTATTCTAACAGAAAAAAACTGTTTATAATTGTTATATGTATTCAAAATCTAACGTTTATAAATGGCTAGATATTCTAAATAACTGTTAGCGAATGTTACTAACTAATGATTTCTCTTATAATTTTATGCATAAATTATTTTTGACATGAATAAATCATGAATTTGAAATATGCGGAACTGTGTTACTAATACACATTTTTTCGCTGTGATGTGTTTTGTAAAAAATCTATCTTTGAAGAAAGTGATTTGCGTTAAATATATTAATCAATAAATATTTTGATCTTTATAAAGGAAAAAGTTCTCATAATATAAATTTAAAAGTAAGAATATAAAAAATTTCTCCAAATATTCAGCAGTTGTGAAATCGGCTTTAAGTATTAAGACAGGATAATTTACAATAAAAAATTGTACCTTAAGTAATCGTAACAAAGTATTCAGATTTATGACTTCATTCGAATAATCGATTGCTCAAAAAAATAATTACTCAAATTAGGTAGAAAATTAAAAGCAATCATATTTCATTTTATAAAATGGATCTCATCATGATCATACAAGGTAAAATAGTAAAAAGGAAAAAGCATAAATACTCATAATGTATTATATATTTGAGATAATAATCATTTACAAATTTTAATATAAACATTCGTGAAATAATTAAACTTTATAAAATTTTAATAAAAAAAATTATGACGATTTTTTTTATATTTGAAGGTTAAATTAATAATCTATAAGCATAAGCTTCCAATATTGCGAAAAAGTGAAATTACTAGATATGGAATCAGTAAAATCATTCACTCTAAGTTTACAAGTAATTCACTTGCAAATATAATATTAGTACAAAACAACATATACAATATTTAACTGTAAATATAATAATTAGATGTAAATAATAATATAAACTTTTTTGATCAATAGAAGTTTCTCATTTCTATATTTTTTACATGATTAAAACATCTAAAATATAGAAACTTCGGACTGACCAGTTCAACATCGATTATTCGATGAGAGAATAATGTGTAAAATAATGCTCTTCGAAAATGAATAGTATATTACAAAAGACGATACTATAAACCTCAACATTCTTAATAATTTTACTCTAAGTGTATCCTCGTGCAGCTCATATTTTTTTCATATTTTTTATGTGTTGCTGATATGCAGTGATAAATATAGAGTAATATACAATATATTTAATATTTTTTAAGTATATACCTTACAATAATTTTAAATAATCCTCTACTAGATAGCATTATTTGTACACTCAAAGTATAGCAAATGCTATATAGCAATGAATATTCTTCGTTCAACTACATTTTTGACGAAGTTTATACTATATGACTAATAAAAAAAGTTGCAAAACTTGACATTTACAATATGAATTTAGAAAATTACGAATTTAGCTAAAAAATTTGAATAAATTTGTGTTACTAAACATCTAGATGATCCATGTAATTTTGAAAAACAATATTCAGGAAATAATTTAATAAAAGTATAGTCAATCTTCATAATAATAAATAAAAACAGTCATTTTTTTATCCGTCATTGCTTACCAATCTTAAAGTCAGTATTCTTCCGTTGCAAGTAAAGTACGTATAACTCATATAATATATACAAGATGAAAAATAATCATGAGTACCTCAGTAAACGAAAAATCACATACTAAAAAAATCACCTCAAATAAGATTGTCCTCGGGCTTTGGTGGATGACGCTTGGCTATTGCCTCTGCATGCTTGAGAGCCTTCTTATGTGCCTCCTTGGCTCGCTCGACATCCTTGGTGTCGATAACTCGACCGTCCTTTCCAAGGGGTGCCTCCGGACCTTTGTAGCCAATTGGGGTGTGCTGATAGAGTAAATGAACTATCGGTGGATTATGAAAGTAAATCTGTTTGTTGGTTTCTTGATTTTCTTCGGTATTTTCTTGTTTCCATTGTTCCTCTTTTGCCTTAGCCAATTCAATTGCCTGTCTGTATGCGGCAAAATGAGCTTCCCTAGCTTTTTTCACCTGAAAATTTTAATCAGTGTTAGTCATGGTCCAACATACCTTATCAAAATTTTATCGTGTGAGATAAAATTCGATCTCATTGATTGACTACTTATACGTGATTTAGTACGGAATTGCACTTTTTTGTACTAGAATATTTGAGTAGCTGCGTATTTATATTAAATATTACTCTTGTTGTATAAGTTACTACTTTCTATTTTTCTAAAAGTTTATCTTTCAAAAAAATTTTCAAGTTATTATTCATTGAAGTAAGCAAATTGTCAGAATCTGTATATCTCAAAATATTAACAAAAATTGTCTCGCTTAATCAAGTTATGAAATGTATTACATAAAATATTTAAAAAAGTTCGTTTATTTAACTTACATCATTAAACATTTGACTATGAACGACTTTCCGTGATATAATGATGGACATAAATATGTCTAATTTTTGAGAAAATGATAGAGAACTAAGCTAATATAGCAATTTTTTAAGTAGTTCTCTTTTATGTATTTTATTCGAATATATAACGCTCGATCGAACGATTTCTCTTAGATAAGACTTAGATTTCGCAATAATTAGTTCCACGTATACATGGTAAAAATTTGCTCGCGTCATTTGCATAATAAATATTATTATCGTCGTGATTACTATTTTTATTTCAAACACAACGGCGAAAAGATAAGATTCAAATTACTCTCAGTTTGAAATATAAAAAATATAAATCTTCTTCGACTATTTTCTTTTGAAAAGAGAAATTTTTGCAATTTAATTTAAGTGTAAAGAAGTTCTTACCTCAGGAGTTTCAACAACACGTCCAATATGATCAAGCGGCGCTAAAGGTCCCTCGTAGCTTTTCATCGCAATGTATTGTGGGTGATTACCTTCCACTTCGTTGTTAATGTCGGCCTCGACTTTGGTATCTTCTTGCTTGGGTGCTTCAACAACAAGTAGCGCTTCCGCCGCAGGTTGCTCAGGCGCCGCTTCAACTGCAGCCTCGGGTGATTGTGCTGGTGCGGGTTCTTTTGGTACTTCAGCAGCAGCCTCCACGACTGGTGCTGGTTCCTCTTTGTTTTCCTCTTCACCTTGTTTTTGTTCCTCTGCTGCGGCAGCCATCAGCATCGCCATCAGTTCTGGTGTCATTTGCACGGGTTCCGCTACGACAATGGGTTCAGCTTCTGGACTGGCTTTTGCACTCAATTCTTCGGCTTTGAGCTTAGCTTCTTCAGCATTAGATTCAGCCATTTTTCTTGCTAACTCGGCTGCCGTTTCCGCATGGATTGCTAAGTGATTGGCTTTAGCTTCCGCGACTTCTGGTGTGTCAATCACTCGACCGTCTTTAGATAGAGGAGCTGGTGGTCCATGGTATTCGTGGTGAATTATGTCCCATTTGGACTCTCTTCGCCGTTTTACTGCTATCAACCGCCTTCCTGACACCAGCATCACGGTACCCAAAATCACCAATATCACCTATTGGGAAGGCATTCTTAATAAGTGCTTGTAATTCTGTTTTACACTTTTGGAATTATGAATTTTTGATTTCTAATACATTTCTTAAATTAAATAAAATAAATGTACTTGGTGTTGGGCATTAATATTCTTCAAGCTAATTTTCTTTTTAGACTTATCAAAATATGACTTTCAATACAATAACAAATTTTGTAATGAAAAATTTAAATATTCTACATTTATCATATAAAATTTTCATTCACTCGATAAAATGAATCAGGTTTTCTAATTGTTTCATATAAAAGTAAAAAAATATGTAGCTTATTTACTGTTATCGTTATTAGTAATATTTTGATTATTTATCATTTGATTTCCTAAATAAAGAAGTTTAATTTATTAAACGATTGATTACATAATGAAATGCAAGAAGGAAGAAATAATATATAAAACGCTTGTTTGAGCGTAACGTTAAGAATGTTCCGCTATATAATTTCTATTAATGAATGTAAGCGATCAGAAAAAAAGTGTTCAGTATGTTAATCTAATTCCGCAATTGAATGGGTTCGTGACTGAATAATGTTTTATAAAAATGCCTTGATAAAAAATTAGAAAGTATTTGTTATCGGTGCTTTTGTAACGAAGTAATGAAAAGTAGTAAATAAATGTTACTTTTATGGATATTCAGGAAAAGCTTTCATCACGCGATTCTCATAATCACTATATACAATTAGAGAAATTTCAAGATTTATGACCCGAATAAAAATCGTTAAAGTAGTCTGTTCATTATTGATTCATTGTTTAATAAAATGTATACATGTTTAAGAAATAATCAAATACGGTTAAAATTATTTTTATTAGAAAGATCAAAAGTCAATTTTTAATAAATGTACAGAGAAAATAGACTGTGATTTATTTTTCATTAAAAGCTATCGAATTAACTATGCAAACAACTTATGCTAAGCTCCCAAGTTGTCACAAGCTAACCGGCTCTGTAGAATACTTAGAAATGACCGATAACAGGTAATGACGAATGAATTATTGCAAATGAATAATGTATGAGTGTATTGATTTTATTAAATCAGTTGTTGTGATATAGTTCAAATAGACTTAAAAATATGTAGAAACGCTGTATTACTATCATGGCAAACCTATGTATTTATATTTAAACATCTAAATATTTCTCGTCTATAAAAAATACATTGAACACGCTTTTGAATGATTAAAATTAGTGGCAATGTATTTATGGGTGATTAAACATAATTTAACATTAATTAAACGACATCATTTTTAAACGCTTGTAGCGCAAAAATTTCTACGTGTAAAATGTTTACTCCTTATCTTTAATGACAGCAAAATTAAATTTAAAATAGACTATTTTTCTAATTATATGCACTTTGTCTAGATTCTATTTATATTAGATTTTAACAAATTTAAACAATATCATTTAACAATATGTAGTTAGAATAAAATCCTGTAAAATTCAACTTAAGGTTATACAGTTTCGATTGCAAAAGATCATGTGCTTCAAAACCTCGTGCTTTGTTATTTCAGAACATCCACATGCCTTTCGACCGGGGTTGAGTATTGTGAGTTTTATCAATAATAAAATATAATAAGGAAAATATAAAAATAGTTTACTTTATACGAAATGAAAATATGTGTATTAATAATTAATGTTAAAAGAGTATTTCTAAAATAATTATATCAATTACGCGAGCAGGGGAGGGGGAATAGTGTGAAATAAGTTCCCGGTTCCTATATCTATATCGAGTGTTCAGACATTTATTCCTAGCTGCCTTCCTATTACTCTTGAATGAATAATAAAATGGTTTTTTTAATGATACATTAAAATATTTTATAGTTGAACTCTGATTCTGACATTTCGTCAACACAGTGTCAGTATACCATTCCTGATGGACGCCAATACTATCCTCGAAAAAATATTCACTTGTTAAATTCTAATTAGTACACTTTTTCACAAAACATTTCACAATTTGTAATTATTCCAAAATTAGATTAAAACTTTAGTAAAATACTTGAAAACTATAAAAATCTTACAAGGTTGAATTATAAAAGAAAGTTAGATTAGGTAAAGCATTACAAAAGTTGAATAATAATCGCGAAAAACTTACAAGTACTTTCATGGCAAAATCGGTAATCCTAAGACACCGTAGAGAAGAAAGAACGACTGGGTGAGAAGTGTGCCTAGTCATCGGTAAGCCGTAGCTTTTATAGCAATCGGGGATAGCTAGCATGAGTGCGTGATACGCGCGTTACCCTACCATGCGTGTTGATTCAGTACGTCCTCCGCCTTCTCGACTTTTCCATCTCTCTCTAGTTGCAAATGTGGGCGCGAAAATATTCCGCCTTAATTGCCCCGAGATGCGAAAAAAATCGCGAGAGGCGCGACCGAACCGGCGGCGGGCCCCCCTATCCGGTAGCACAACTATCCGTGCGCGTTACGGCACACCGAATTACGAGTCGCGCCGCTGCTACGTGTTTATTTTGTTGCCTGCGTAAAATTATATTTACTTTCGAAAGTAAGCGACGAGTCATACGACGAGATTGTGGCGGAGAGGGTGCTGTTCACTCTTAGCGCTATGTTCTCCTTTTTTTGCTCTTTCGGATTTCACTGGAGCGGTAGAGATCTACATGGCTCGTTATGCCGAAGCCACATACCAGAGTCACACGTTTCAAGTCTGCACGAACACCAGCCAGTTGTGCTCTCTTCCGTATTGGTGAGTTCGTCCTTTTAAATAATAGAGCTTATTCATTTTATTGCATGCTACTAATATTGTTTAATGCTTACTCGCATTTCTTATTTTTCAATAAATAACTCACGTTCAACTCAAATTTAATATACTCTAAAAGAAAGAAAAAGTTTCTAAAGGATCTTTCTTCCACGTGGAAACGTGTTACTAAATATGCTGAAGTACCTTTATACTTTGATCTCGTAGTTGTATTCGTTAGATAAAGTTGATAATATGAACTATTCATTAATTTTCATGTAATTCCTCATACCTCTTTTTGTACCAACTATAATGAAGCTTTCAGTGTGGTGTTGATATAATGACGAGTCTTGTCGAATAACATTGCATGGTTCATTAACTATTCACAATCAGATTCCCATACATCTACTGATCTTCACAATCTATATCAGTGAATTCAAAATTGAATGACGTATAAAAAAAATTACTTAAAATGAAATTAAAAAATTACGTATATATTGGTATGAAAACACCCGAAATTCTACATTATCCAAGTTATCGTTATCTAACTTTACATATATATTTTGGAATTTTATAGAGAGTTTCGAAATGCATTATTTTATCAAAGTCATTTTTCAATTTTTGAATGGTTCTTGTATTTCTTTTATATTAAAAAAGCAAACACATTTATAAATAATAGTAGTTAAATATTAATTACTTCTTTCTGGAAGAGAGCGAACGTGCACGGTTCACCATGATTTGTTTGGAACTTACAATCCTGTTTAACATTTGATATTTGCTTAGTTACATTCATCGAATTAAAGTATATGATAATAGAAATAATTTATAATTTGTTTATAATATTATTAGATAGAAGGTGAATCAAATCATTTTAATAGAAAACAACTGTTGACAAGGATTGAGTCGACAAAAATTATATTGTTTCAATATTTCTTTATAAATTATCTGAAAAAATGCTTGTTTTGGAAAATTAGCTTACTTTGAACAAACATGCGATGGAATATCATACGTTTTCAACGATTCATAATTTTTGAACAAAGTTGTTTTTAATCGAAAGAATTTAAATTCATCTTATATTTAATGTTATTATAAAAATCCTCAAATCCACATAGCTTAGATTAAGAACTATATTATTCGTTATTTCTTCAATTTGATGTTGATAGCTTAAAACTATGGAATTATCGAAAAATGAATGAATATTCGCGCTTTTTATATTTTATGATGTTTGAAGATATTTCCTAAAGTTACAAACAAATAGTCGATTTAGAAATGTAACATTTTAATGATAAATTTAAGTGCTACAATAACTTTTGTGAAAAAAACATTTGCGCATCATTTGGAAAAGCAGATATTCTTTAAGATTGGAAATAAATGACAAAGATGTAATTTAAAAATTATTAATAGTATTTAAATCAAACAAATTAGCTGTTGAATGATAATTTTCAAACGAAATTGTGTTTGAATGATCGATTTTTACCATATAAAAAGATTTAAAAAGGGCGCGCTTACTTGAAAGTTACATTTGATATTTATAGGTGCCCAAATAAAATGTTCTCACCGCGTGATATGTACGTTATCACTTTATACATAGATAAATAATTTACCCAAACACTGTAAGATAAAACGGATAATGTCAAAACAGGGTTTTTTGAAAAAAAGTTAATCATATGTCAGATTTGAAGTATCAAAGACTTAAATTTTGCAGTTTTAAGATAACATTCCGAAAGTTACCACTAGAACTAAGGCGTACGTTAAAAAATTTAATGACGCTGTGAAAGCATTTCCGTTTCAAATGCTGTAGGAAACTAGTATTTTTTAAAACACATTATCAATACTCTTCCATATTTATTGATCTATTTATTTCCGTACTTATTTCAATCCAACCATTTCAGTGTTTATATAATACATCTAGCTTATATCCAGAAAGTCACAAGTATTGTTGATTTAAATTAATTAATTACTAAAGATACATGCAATAAAATAATTAATAATGAATTGAAATTGTTTAACTTCAGTAAAGGTGAGTTGAAGATAGCATTATTAAACTAAAATTATGGAAAAATCATTAATTTTTACTCATGACTGTTGAAATTTCAATCCCTTATATAGTTTAAAAACCAATATATTTTGAAAAGTCATAGCAATTTTGCACAAGTTTGAAATATTAGGAATATATGCGTAAATAAAAGAATTTCGTTAAATTCTTGGGATCAAGAATTGTTTTTTGCAAAACCGTTAAGCGGCATTTTCGTGGCGTAAAGCGCGCGAATGAACCAGCCGAACGCCTTGTAAAATTAAAAATCTACTAAATCTAGAGCACGCAATTCGTATAACGAGCTCGTAATAGGTGTCGTTGCGTAGGACTTGTTTATATTTATCAAAATATGGTTTACTGCGCGCCACTTTGACGTAACGAAGTGCGCGAGCCCCACTAATCCGTGCGCTGCGCACGAATTTTCAATCGTCGATGGCCACGCGTTCACAGCCGTACACATTGGAATCGTATCAATTAAATGCGATAACGCGTGCCGCGCCCGTTCTTAATTTATGTTCTCAAATTTCAGTAAAATATTTTCAGTTGCGTACGAGTTGCAAAAAAAATGTTCGTTTTAGCCTAATAACAGTTGTACGGCAACATTCTTCAGGCATTCCAACCAAGGATACTTGCTACTACGTTCGCTCTAAAGTTTCCGGTTAATAAACATCGAGGAAGTATATATTTAGCAGCATCGCTGGTTTAATAAACCTTTATCAGGCATTTACCTTGAACATTTCGATGGGAAAAGCAAGTAAAACTTGGAAGGTAATTTTCTATAAAAATAAATAAAATCAGATACGCACTTCAAATTTTTTTCTCTAATTGGAGTTGCTAATTAAATCATTAGTATAATTTGATTATTACTTTTTACAAATTTATATTATTTTATAATACACTTTAGATCATGGAAATATAATTGCAACCTTTGTTAAATAATCACTTACATGCGTGGATCAATCATTAATTTAGAATTATTGACATTGAAACATATGTTATATCTATGTAGGTTATATACCTAATATGTTTAGGCGTGGTTACTATTAATACTACTAGTTTTATTCTTTTTTTACGATGATTTCAGATAAAAATAACAAAACCTATCACGAAAGGTCAATTTGGCGTTTGCTTCTTTATGTACAACAATTATATATTACGTTAGTTAGATTGGATAAGTAATAATGTCAAATGCATAATGTTTTTAAATAAATAAGTACTTGGGAAAAACCAATTTATCTTTTCGAAAAATTCAAGTAACATTTGAAAACCCGATTAATTAAAAGTATTTTTATATAGCATCAGTCCTTTCACCTACCACCATATAGTTAAGAAATAATGAATAGATTTTTTACGCAGTTTAGCTGTAAACAATCAATATCTACAATACATTTTAAAGAAATTTAATAATTAAAAGCGTGAATGTAATGAATAAATTTAGCAATCTACAATATCAATGCATAGAATAGTAAATTATTATTTATTTTTTTCAACTTTAATTTTAGGAAAAAACATTTTTTATCACATTTTTTCATATAAGTTATCTAATGAACATCGAATACCTGACATTCCTACACACAAAAACTTTAAAAATTCAATTTATTCGAATAATTTCATGCGTAGGCATGCGTAAATGCAGTATACTGTTACCAAACATTATTTTTACTCTTTCGCAACGCTTTACTTCTATTTTATAAATATTAAATAAATAAACATTTGTATTCTTACACAATTACCAGTGATCTTACATTTTTATTGCAATTATAACCCAATACAGATTACACTCTGTGAAATGATATAAAACTTGACTAGAATCTTTTGTTATTGCCTTAATTCAGTAATATTTTTTCATCTTATTTATCCAATATCTTTTCAATGTATGTTTATTTCGATTCAAGCTTTTACTTTTATTTATTTCGAATATTATATTTATTGTACTATTTTCAATTATACATTTGCTATAAGGCAGTGCTGAAAAACTGTTGATAAATGTAATAATTAAGTATTTAATAATCAAAGAATACTTGCTAATTTTGAGATTTTCTTTTTCTGTACTCATTTGATAAAAAATATTAATTTCACCATCATTTCATACCTCAAAACTCAATATAAATTTACAGCAATATTGATCTACAACAATATTAATATTATAACTTATGTACAAGTTTTAATTTTAATGTTCCAAAATATATTTTTTTAAATGAGATTTTATAGAGTACATACAATTCAAAATGCTTAAATATTCGTCATTTATTAGATAACATACATGAATAAAGTAAAATGTACTTTTTCCTAAGGTGTTTATTTTAAAGTACTATCATTTGGGTTGGATGGCATGAAAAATAATCTGAATATATTTGAAGCAGTGTTTACATAAATTCAAATTAACCGAAGTACATATATAATAAAAATTCGTTCAAGGTTAAAAGTCACGACTGCTTGTGAAAAATATAGTAAAGTGGTTTGACCAGATATATCTCCTTCACCCGATGTAAACATCAATGACCTTGTCAGAATTTGTTTTGCGTTTGACAATAATTTGGCTTCTACTTGAAAAATAATCTCTGTTTCCATGCAGTAATGACGCAGAATGAATTTACTACTATTAATTTATTACTATTCCAACTACTATTTCAACCAACATTTTAAACTTGTAATAAATCATAACATTTTTGATTATTTAATAGAAAAAGTAAGAATAATGTAACATTCTATTTACGATGAGCTATTAAAAAAAAAGTCACTAAACTAGAATTAAAACCAACCGGAAGCAAATAAGTTCTGAATTAAATAGATCATAGATAGAATTACTTACTTAGCAAAGAATATTGATCAAATAACTAAAAATTAACTTATAACAAATGAAAAGTCAAATACGACAAAATTTAAAATGTTCATAAGTCTTTGTGAAAACGTTTACGAATCCATATTTAATAAGGTATTAGGCATAAAGTTTTAATCTATGTATATGTAACATATTTCGTAATTCTGCTAGAAATTTATCAGATTGTACAAGGATTACGTTAATACTTTACCAAAACGAAAATTTTATTATTCAAATGGTATCAATGATTCAACGACATTAATGATATAAACGATTACTCGTATCATTTCAAAAAATACTACAAAAGTATACTTTCTAATGATTATAGAATATTTTGGAATACCTGTTACAATTAGAGTTTCTTGTAACTTTAGTACACAATTTTGCATAACGTACGTGAATAAACGTTTAAATTCTTGATTTAACGTTGAGTATCATGAAAGAATTTTTCTCACACTGACTCAAAATCGCATTTTAATCGTTTTCTTTTATTGTAATCATTTCATATACTCTTCCGATACTGCTTTATTTTAAAAATGATATGCAAATCTCGCCACGAACGCGAGTTTTTAAATAATTTCAATTTAGTTAAAAGATATCACACTATTGTAAAAAAGAGTTCTAAGCTTATGTTTTCTTTGAAGGTAAAAAATAGTACATTACGCTACTACGGAGTACGATAGGCAATGTACGCATCGTGTAATGTTTTACACAGTGCGTCTTTTTGTACTTATGCTCCCGCGTGTATCTTGTTTTCCATAATCCCCATAAGAGGGTGATGTTGCTCTCTCAGCAGACAATACAAAATAAAGTGCACTATGAATACGCTAGGTACTTCACTTTCAGTCTGTTCATACGGTTTTGTGCTACATAGGTAGTGGGAGGAAAATTGTATAATAATTCATCATGAGTAGTTTATTATATTGATAAAATATCAGATATTTGCTATTGATCCGGATGCCAATTTTGTGTTTTTTATATTAACGTATGGAATGAATAGAAATATATATTTAAAATTGTTCGAAGCACCAATAAATATTCATTTTTCATTTTAGTGAAATTCGTAGACATTAAAGTGATCAGACTGGATTTTAATATTATTTGCAATAAAAGAAAATATAAATCATTCTGGATGGACCGGTTACGTTCATTTTTCATTTCGCTACGGTGGGAGATAAAATGCGTCTGAAAAAAATGTACGTCCGACGTGGACATCGGATCGAATTTGAGAGAAAAAAAATAAAAAGAGATCACCAGGAAATCACTACCTCTCGCATGTGGCACTGAAAGAGCTCGGAACGCAAACGCGTGGGCGCGCGGATTATCCCATAAAACGAACGTGCACACATGCGCGCTCTTTACTTGAGCTGGTAAAAGAGAACGCGAGAGCAAGAGAAATGGACAGGGCGATAAGGCTCCGAGCTCTTGATATTGGATTGCGCAAACGGAGAGCAGCGTGTGTATACGTAACTGCACGATGGACATGCAATTTTAACGTAGCGTGAGCCAGAGAAAAGGCGAATTCCAAACGAGCTAAAACAGCAAAGTAAATAAATAAACTGAATATAAGAGACAAACTATCAAATAAAGAATTGAGCTTCTGAAATTGTTTGTAAGCGATCTGGGGTTCAAGCTTTCTTACTTTTTTTCATGATCAGTGACGAAATTTGGGTGGGTAAGTGAGAACTTTATCTAAATGGTCGGATTTACGAAACGATAAAACGATTTGACACAAGATCGAGAGCGAGCTGAACAGCTACACTCAGCCGACTCTGGGAAGTTGACAGCACCTTGCGGTTTTATCGAGTGATTGATTAATTTTACCTTTGACGAGGTGAAATGCATTGCCAGTCGTAACTGGTGGGTGTGTTATACTGGTTATACGTATTCAGGAAGTACTTAGCTCTATTAGCCAATACTTTTCTCAATTAGTATTCAATAAATAAATATTATATTTTCATCATTTCTACATGCAGAGTTATCTTTTCCGGCTCAATTTCCGATTGCTCTCCTTCGAAGTCAAGTTTAAAGATAGTGATTAGACTAGTTTAGATTGGCTGCCAAAAAGCTTCCTCGTATTAATCACAGTAATTTTTTGTAAATACCATTCACATCTTACTAATCTCACTAATTTCTACTTTCGTATATTTGTATTTATGAACAAAAAATTTTTTATATCCAATTTTAGAGCCAACCCGTTGTGAAAACAATAATAATCAAACAATCATCTCAGGTTACACACGTGTGTTTCGTTGGTGAATATCCAACCTCATCAGATCTTTATTAAAAAACAAAACGAGAAAATGGTTACAATAACAGATATAAACCAAAAAACAAATAATAATCACGCTAAAAAAACATTTACCTCAATTCGCAAGTCACAATCAAATTAAAAATCACAATAAAGTCAAAAATACACTGTCAAAATCATCCTATAACATTCGTTCGAATATTCAAAATTCAAATCGGACAACGACTAAGAAATACTGCAAATCAAAACAGTGTCTGTTGCCTTTTATACCAAAACAGATCACACAATCAGATGTATCCCCTCTCTTAAGCCATGAAAACAGTACATTAATCATCATTGTACATCAAAACAAACTTTAAAAATTTATTATAAATAAATGTGAGATCAGTCAGCTAAAACATCAAATAAACCTTTATATTGTTTACTCAGTAAACTAGTGTCTTCTTGTCTATTTATAGTGTTATAAGACAAATTAATATATATCATTTCCGAAATTAATCTCTTATAATAATTAGACTCTCTATCTAAAATTATTGTGTTGTCCCAGTCAAACGAGTGTGTAGGATAATTTTTTAAATGCATAGGAACAGGAAGAGATTTATCTAAAGGTGTCTTCCTATGTTCCTCTATGCGTTTTTTTAAACTTCTCTTAGTTTGACCAATATATACAGACGGGCAACTATCACAACAAAATTTGTATACTACATTTGTCTCATTCCACTTTTCTGTTACATCTTTACCCAGTTTTATTATATTGTCCAGCTTATGATTAATTAATGGTAAACAATGAACATTAAATTTTCTTAAACTATGGTTGCATAAGTTAAAAAATTTTTTGTGAAAAGGCAACGTTAAAACCATCGATTTAATATTCGTATTTTTTCTATCATCTTGAGTAGCAATACTATTCCAAAATCTATGTTTACGAATGCGATCTAATATACATGTTTTAACAAATTTTTTCGGGTAATCATTATTTTTTAAAATGCTCTCAACAATTTTTATATTATCTTTATGAAAGGTTGCATCAGATAGTAATAAAGATCTATCAATCAGATTATATACAATGTTTCTTTTTTGCTGAGTTGTATGGTTAGAATAAAAATTCAAAATTCTGCCTGAACAAGTCGGTTTTTGGTACCAATTAGTGACAATTTTACCATTTTTGATTATTAACGAAATGTCTAAAAAAGTTATACTATTATTACATTGAATTTCGTGTGTGAAATTCAAATGATTATTATAATTATTAAAAATGTCCAAAACCAATTGTAAATTATCCCTTTTTATACATAAAATAGTGTCATCTACATATCTAAAATAAAAAAGCGGTGAACAATTATATTTTTCTCGCAAAACATTTAAACAATCTGTCTCCAAATCATCCATAACTAAATCAGCAAACAATGGCGATATTGGAGAACCCATCGGTGTACCAAAAATCTGTTTGTAAATTATTCCATCAAACTGGAAAAAAGTATTATCAAACAAAAACTTTACCGTATCAATTATTTCAGTAAAAGGTATCTCCGAAACAGAGTGAATCTTGTTAAATCGCCTATCGAGACTCTCAATGACTAAATCACATGGAACGTTTGTAAACAAAGAGCTGACGTCTAATGAAATTAACATATAATCTGACGGAACTGTTATGTTTTGAAGTTTTTTTATAAGTTGAAAACTATTATCTATATGTGAAAAAGGACGTAAATTACATTTTTTTATTTCTTTGTCTAAAACTGTAGATAAAAAATGAACCGGGCTATTAATAGTTGAAATAATAGGTCTAAGTGGATATCCAGCTTTGTGAATTTTAGGAAGGCCATAGGCTTTTGAGAGTACCGTGTTAGTTTGCGTGAGAGCATATTTATTATACTTAAAATTTAAATAACCCTTTTCATTAAAATCACGGAGAATTTTATAAACCCTTAATTGCAACGATCTCAAAACATTTCCACTAGTTACAATTTTATATGTATTCACATCATTCAATAATTCAATCATTTTTGATTTATAATCCCCGACTTCCAAACAAACCGTTAAATTACCCTTGTCAGCTCTTGTAAAAAATATATTGTCATTATCTCTAAGAAATTGCTTAATGTGATCTATTTTTTGTTTCAATTCCCTCTCAAACTTTGATACATGCAAAGTATTGCTGGCAACTCCTTTCAAATTCTTTATTATAGTATCTCTGATTGTATAGCTATTTTTTATTTCTTTTTTCCGCGAAGCAGTATCATCCACAATATCAACATCACCATCATCATTCACATATGATTCATTTCGTAAAAAATACTCGACATTTTTAATTGTCAAAATAATATCTTTTTTTGTGAATTCAGATGTATTAAAATTTGGGCCCATCGATACGACCTCTATTACTTCAGTAGGTAACACAATATTAGTGAGATTTTTAACCCATTTTTCACGATGTTTGACATTACGAACAACATACTTCTTTCTGTGTATCATTGCAAACTTATCACTCAATGTCTTGTTCAATCTTTGAAAAATATTACTACTCTTTATTTCAGTAAAGTATCTAAATGAATTTAAAATATCCCGATCCATCCGCAAACCATCCAACACATAAGACAACGCATTAAGTCGCTGCCTAATATGATTCATATGAACACATAAATCTTTAATTTCCAATTTTAAAATTCTTTTAGACTGTGAATTACAAAATGCTGCAAATTCCGCACACGAAATTCAATGTAATAATAGTATAACTTTTTTAGACATTTCGTTAATAATCAAAAATGGTAAAATTGTCACTAATTGGTACCAAAAACCGACTTGTTCAGGCAGAATTTTGAATTTTTATTCTAACCATACAACTCAGCAAAAAAGAAACATTGTATATAATCTGATTGATAGATCTTTATTACTATCTGATGCAACCTTTCATAAAGATAATATAAAAATTGTTGAGAGCATTTTAAAAAATAATGATTACCCGAAAAAATTTGTTAAAACATGTATATTAGATCGCATTCGTAAACATAGATTTTGGAATAGTATTGCTACTCAAGATGATAGAAAAAATACGAATATTAAATCGATGGTTTTAACGTTGCCTTTTCACAAAAAATTTTTTAACTTATGCAACCATAGTTTAAGAAAATTTAATGTTCATTGTTTACCATTAATTAATCATAAGCTGGACAATATAATAAAACTGGGTAAAGATGTAACAGAAAAGTGGAATGAGACAAATGTAGTATACAAATTTTGTTGTGATAGTTGCCCGTCTGTATATATTGGTCAAACTAAGAGAAGTTTAAAAAAACGCATAGAGGAACATAGGAAGACACCTTTAGATAAATCTCTTCCTGTTCCTATGCATTTAAAAAATTATCCTACACACTCGTTTGACTGGGACAACACAATAATTTTAGATAGAGAGTCTAATTATTATAAGAGATTAATTTCGGAAATGATATATATTAATTTGTCTTATAACACTATAAATAGACAAGAAGACACTAGTTTACTGAGTAAACAATATAAAGGTTTATTTGATGTTTTAGCTGACTGATCTCACATTTATTTATAATAAATTTTTAAAGTTTGTTTTGATGTACAATGATGATTAATGTACTGTTTTCATGGCTTAAGAGAGGGGATACATCTGATTGTGTGATCTGTTTTGGTATAAAAGGCAACAGACACTGTTTTGATTTGCAGTATTTCTTAGTCGTTGTCCGATTTGAATTTTGAATATTCGAACGAATGTTATAGGATGATTTTGACAGTGTATTTTTGACTTTATTGTGATTTTTAATTTGATTGTGACTTGCGAATTGAGGTAAATGTTTTTTTAGCGTGATTATTATTTGTTTTTTGGTTTATATCTGTTATTGTAACCATTTTCTCGTTTTGTTTTTTAATAAAGATCTGATGAGGTTGGATATTCACCAACGAAACACACGTGTGTAACCTGAGATGATTGTTTGATTATTATTGTTTTCACAACGGGTTGGCTCTAAAATTGGATATAAAAAATTTTTTGTTTAAAAAAATGGAGAGTGCTAAGAATAAGATAATTGTATTTATGAATTTGTTGTATAAATTAACAGGAAGAAGTTGCAGTGCTATCCACTCATTCATTATATACAAAGATATTTTTAAGATCAAGTAAAGATTTGAATCATTTAACATGAGATTTAATATCATTCATATTGATATACAATTAAAATCGTTCATGATTAAATAAAAATTGTAAGAAGAACAGAATTGAGAAGATAAACAGATTTATTACGAATTTAAGTATGTCATGTGATTCCCCCACTGAAAATATACATATAAAACTTGTACACAACTTCTACAAAAATTGTAGAAGAATGTGTACAAGAATGTGTACAATATTTGTTTAAGACTTGTACAAAATTTGTATAAAACATTTATAAGTTTTTTCCGAAAAAACTTGTACAAGACTTATACATATCTTATATACATCTCATAGAAATCTTGAACAAAATCTTTATAAATATTGTACGAATTTCGTATAAATTAATAATTTTTTTCAATCAAAAAATCATTTTGATTATTATTCTACAATAGTCGACTGTTTTATTTATAATATAAGTGTTTTATGTTTGTGCCGATGATCAAGCCTAATCTCTTTACACGTAGTATAAAGTATTACAAAAATTATCCACCAGCCCAGAAATTGTACGACTGAGAATGGTAAAGCACTAAATAATTTCTCTTATACAATGACCAGTGGTAATGTTTTTTGTGATTTTTTCGCAATGTTTTTTTGGCGGATAATTTGTGTAATACATTATTAGTATACAATATATATAACGATTAGGCTTGAACATCGGCACGAGCGTACAGCACTTGAATCGTAAATAAAATAGTTAATTATTGTAAAATAATTATCAAAATTATTTCTTTTAATTAAATAGTCGTCATATTCTTATTCAAGATCTTATCCTCTATTTCCAGGAAGATATTCATTAAATAAAAATTAGTTAGTATGTATTATATAATGAGAAAATTAATTTTATAATAATAATTGTTATTAATTATTTTATTGAAAGAAATTATTAATTTGTACAACATTTGTACAAACATTTGTACAAGATCTGAATGAGATGTGCATAAGATATCTACAAGTCTTGAACAAATTTTCTACCAATCTTGCACACATTCTTTTATGCAAGTTGCGTACAAGATTGATATTTATGTTTTCAGAGGGATCAACTATTTTTATATTACTATGTTCATAATATTGATAACCGTTAGTTCTGTTCATCGTACGTCTAAATCCATGTTTACAGTTCATTGTTATTAAAAGTTGTTTTTACAAATTAAAGTTAACTTCATATTAATGGACAATTCTTGATTTTCACATACTAGAAACATCAGACACCCTCGCGCGCTTTCACCTTCTTTTTCATTTCTTGTCATATTGATTAACATATTCGATGCAAATCACATTATTCATAGGTGGATTTTTAATTTCTTAAAAAAAAACATATTATAGTGAAAAACGTGTATTAGTAAAACAGTTCCGCGAATTCCAAATTCATGATTTATCATGTAGAAAACTGCTATAACCAATCTGTAATTCTTTTTAACTATACAGGTAAAATTACTATTAAACGTTTATCTTACTCTTTGATTAAAGATTGCGACATTACAACATTTTTTTTAGTCTTATCCGTTCAAATCTCAGGTTATCGATTTGTAATAGAAAATAATGAGAATAATTCCAAAACATAATAACCACTTGCTTTTACCTAACAATGTACGACGCGCTGCTAGTTTCATAAAATGATTCTAAAAATAATAAGATTGTAGCCTATATATTTTTATTTTTATTATCTTCAAAATTATCCGTATGAAAATAGATAAATTGAATTGTTATTACTACAATCTCAAGTCGAAACCACATCGACATGCTTATTTGCCGGAATAACAGTATATCACATGACTATATCTCAACCAATCAGATCATGAAGTAATGCTTCAACATTGTATCCATCACTTTTTTTATAAAGGGGCTATTTGTAACTACTTTATAATTTTTTCAGGAATCTTTTAGATCAACTTATTAAATTGAATGGGAAACCTTCAGGTTAATTTATCGCTTAGCGAAACTAAGAAATCAAATATCGAACAGACATTAAAAAATTAATTTTTCGTTGTTTTGTGTTCAATCTGAGAGTTTAAAAAGAATGAAAAATTATAATTATAATAAAATGCAGAGAAAGTAAGAACCGAGTGATCACTATTTGCCGATGGGAGCATCACGATGCTACGTTTACTTGCATCTCGACCCACCTTCTCACGCCTCTTCATCGATGTGATAACGTTGCAACAGCACGCAAAAGATGATAGACGAATTGCATAGTCGTGAGTAATAAAATTCATAATCGGATGTATACTGTTGTGGCTGCGAAAAAAAACAAGGGAGTTGAGATTATAAGAATGACAGTTGAGAAAAATAACTGAGCTATTTCGCTGACAGACTGGAAAAATCTTCTCCCAAGGTACTTTGCTTTCTTATAATGACTGTAAGATTCTCATAAGAATGACTTGAACTTTTAATTTCAAATGAAAATATATGTCTTTAAGTATGCAACACTTAACTGTATATATACCCGTACAAACTTGTTTTTTGAAAGTGGATTAGATGGAAGTTTCGATTAATTAATATAAACTTCGTAAAAATACGATTTATATATTATAGAATAATTCTGTACTACGGTGTCGCTACAAATATTATGTCATTGCCATTGCACAACTATTTCATAAAATAGCCGATTGAAAATAGAGAACAACTGGTTATCTCATACCGTAATATAGATCAAAAACTACCAAATAGGAATGTATTTGCGTAATTAGGTTACAGCAATACTTGTAAAAAATGAAACACATGAGAAATGTCATTTGTAAATGAGAAAATATGGCTACTGAACTTATTTTAGTTACCTTCAAATATTAGTTTATAAATGATAATGATTTTTTTCGTATTAGTAAAGTGAACTAAGTAATTGTTGTGTATTATCGTAAAAATTTTTAGATAACTATTAAGTTCTCAAATGAGTGTAAAAATAAACGGATATTATAATCTATTTAATTGATCTATCATTTTGAAATCAAAATCATATCAACAGTGCGCTGATTACAATCGACAAGTATATTACCGTAAATTGAGCATCGATCATTCTGAAGACATTTCGCGATCATCGATCGCTAACATTAAGTGGCCTTACTATCGTAATAAGCTATTCATTCAACACGTGATTAATGAAATGCAAGCTAAATTGCAGATAATTGTTAGAAGTATTTGATCGTTTTCTGAGTAAAATAAGCAAGAATTCTATGAACTCGTATAGCATTCAAAACGTTTATTGACTGAGAAATAGCTCGATATTTTTCCATTGTAAGAAAATGAATAATGTGCAAATTGAAAATACTTTTGTCTGAACGCTTTTCAAACAGAACAAATATGTCAAAATATTGATATTTTCAATCGAATAATTTGTTTCCATTATACATACATACATATGTGTGTGTGTGTGTGTGTGTGTGTGTGTGTGTGTGTGTGTGTGTGTGTGTGTGTGTGTGTGTGTGTGTGTGTGTGTGTGTGTGTGTGTGTGTGTGTGTGTGTGTGTGTGTGTGTGTGTGTGTGTGTGTGTGTGTGTGTGTGTGTGTGTGTGTGTGTGTGTGTGTGTGTGTGTGTGTGTGTGTGTGTGTGTGTGTGTGTGTGTGTGTGTGTGTGTGTGTGTGTGTGTGTGTGTGTGTGTGTGTGTGTGTGTGTGTGTGTGTGTGTGTGTGTGTGCGTATATGACATTACTTTGAGACATTTTAACAGAAAATATTATTCTAGACATATTCATATATACCTGTAAAAAGCAAATTACTTTTAAATAAGCATTGTAAAGTTAGTATTCAATTATTTTTAAGTTAAATGATGAGATATTTAAAAATATAGTAACATTATAAAGAGTAAATTATGATTGTTTTCTACAAATATTCAACGTCATATAGTAAAAATAATTTATTGAGTATTGAATTATAAGTACATCGTTGCATAAAAGTAACTTATTTCAACAGAGAAGTATGTATTCGTACAGATAAACAATATACAGCATCCAACATCAGCGATACATTTGTGTTCTTATACTACAATAGCTCAATATATGTGAAGAAAAATATAGTAATATCATTTGCTATTCAAAGTACAAAAAGAAAACAATAATGTGACGCTTTTACGTGGAAATGGTTTGACGCACAGTCTCGAAAACTATAATATTGCATAATTAATTTCTCAAAAAAAGTATAAAAAAGAAGAAAAAATACGTATGCACCACAATCACAATCGGCTATAAAAGAAATGAACGAAATATCTAAGCACACATCAGTTTTAGAAAAACATGTTGTTCCGTTATAACAGCGTACTTGCAGATATGAACATTATGAACTCATAAAGCAAACGAATTTTATTTGATTTATAAAAAACAAATTTATTATCGGCCTAAATTATTTACAAGTATTAACGCAGTAATATAGAGAGAGATGTAAAGTCATCGAAATCTCACTTATGTGTGTGTAGGAGATCGTTGTCACTTATTAGTACTGCGACTGGTAGCTCTGTGGCTGCTGAGTTTGGTACTGAGGTTGGTACTGAGGCTGAGCTGGAGCTGGATTGTAAGAGCGTGAAGATGGGACAAATCCAGTGGGAGCACCAGGACCGAATCCTTGGGGTGCACCAGGGTAGGCACCTGGAGCACCGGGGAAAGATCTGGGGATGCTTGGTGCTGCCGACTGGTATTGGGCGGGCTGGGGTCCAGCTTGATATTGACCTGTAAATAGACAAAGAAATTAAATTTTCATCTCTTTATAAATAACAGAATAGATAATTAATTTTGCTTACTATTTGTATTTGTAATATGAAGAAAAAAAATACGAGAAAAAAATTAACGCGGTAAGACGTTCTCTTCCCACAGTCGAATTTAAACAAGGAAAAGATTTCAAAATAGCTACAGCTGATTGCGAGCAATCATGAGGCTCGAGTTTTCATTGAGTTCTAGAAACGATTTGATTGTTCAATAAACAGCTGAAGTGTTGTTTCGTAATACAGCAATAGATCATCATTTCGATAAAATTACCTTTGAAATAGATTCGTATATGAAATACATTAGTGTCGCAACGCTTGGCAAACAATAAGATAAATACTGTTATTTCAGGACCAAAATTGAGTGACAGGTGGTGCGTGTTGTGTGTTTGGCGCTAAGGCTAATACGCGGTTGATATTTCTTAATGGGCATTCACAGTATATGTGCGATAATACGCTGTGCTAAGTTCATTAGGAAGGGAATTTTACGTCCGTGAACCCGCGATATTTTTCGTTTTTTTACAACTATCGAGATTATAATTAAGCCATAAATTAGAGACAATATTATTCTGATGATTTACGAACAGATTGTGTGTGTGGTTTAATTTTCCTTCTGCAATTTCAATTTGCTAACCATGGGAACAGAATGCGTCGAAAAAATTGCTTGCATGTCTGTGTTACAAAGTGTGTTTGCTATTCTGTACAGTTGTAGAAAGTGTTATAAGTACAGATGGTGTATCCAAGGCTTTCTTTTAATAAGCAATAATTAAGAAAATATTATGTGATGTGAAAGAAATCCGAGCGATTCTATTTATCACAAGAACTATTTTCAGACGGCCACGTCGACGCTTAGCGCGAGTATCACAATTACGAAATTGCGGACATTTAAGGAATTATGCGTATAGACCCGCATTATACAATCGAATCGGAAGCGAGAATTTAGAGAAATATCGATCGAATGGTGTATTCGGTAAAAATGTATGAATTGGAGGTGAATAGATTGTTTGGCAACGACATTATTTACGCCGAAAGTGCTTGTGCAACGTAGCTGTAAGGAAAATAAAAAGGCAGAATCGACGTCCAAACTACAAAATGAATCGCGATATAGCTACACAATAGTCGAGCGCGCGTGCGCAATTTTCTAAAATTATGTAAATTACAAGCTGCAGCGCAGCCTGCAATAGTCGACTGCATGGGCGAGTCGCCAGACGATGTCGATGACGATTTTTCTTAAAGCCCTTTCGCTTTGACGATAGATTATCATCGCCGTGTCGCCGTAACTCGCAATCAGCCGCCTCACTCACTCTCTCGATTCCCGTTCATTTCGCGATTGTTATCGCGTAGAAAGGCGCGCGTCAATTAGCCGATAGACACCGATGGAAAAACCGGTTACTACTCGCTACCGGTAACTCTTCTATTTTTCCTTCTTGTATGTCCGCGAGTTATGAGATCAATGTTCGCGGCGCTATGCAATTCGTGACCTAGGACGCGCGTCTCTCTTGCATACACACAACAGTTACAATCGTTGATTATACGCTTCCGTGCTTCGACTTTTACTCGCGCGAGCTAGCTTGCATAGTCTGGCAGTGTAATATGTTTATTTTTTCAAAGTGATTATTAGTTGATGTGAAATGCATCTCGCCTAATAATTATAACGTTGGCCTTCCCGTGGATGACCGATGCAATAAGGTGTTAATAATTACAAGCACTCTTAAGGCTAATCGAATGAAGACTGTCAAGGTAAAGAAATAACCAGAAATTGCAAGGTTATTGTAGACTGCTTCTTTCTCCAATGAAAATCGAAAAGTAATTAATCAATGAAGTAGTCGATTTAATTGACGGCTTTGTAAATGATTGATATTAATAAGCATTCAACGATGTATCCATTAGATATGTTAGATATTGGAATGCCAAACTTTCCTATTACAGGTACAAATACAAATGGTCAAATGAATGCGAGTCGCAGAATGCAATCAAATGACACGACGAAATGCTAATCTTGATTATAATGGTCTCCGCGTCAGGAAATTAATATCGCGACTATTTTCATAAATGACTATACTCACACACTGTACTGTCTCCTGCATCGCATAATCTATCATATCAGAAAGTATAATGAAAATACTATTTATTGAAGAATGTAAATCCGTTAATCACGAATTTAATCCATCATCACATTTATAAGTACTAATCAAAGTCAACGAGCTTCTATAGTAGTCAATTTGGGTACATTGTTAAATTCAATTATAATAAACGAGAAACCAAGTTATAGAATGTCGATCAATAGTTAATCAGTAGTATCTATAAACGCGTCAATTAAGGTCGACAAGAAAAGAATACAAGAAAAAAAGGAACATTCTATAATACATATTGAACAAATCGCCTGTCAAATATCAAACAAGCCATTCGATAAGAATCTTTAGATGCATCATTTGAATTCGATTCTACGCTACAATTGTGTCTGTTCCCCGAGAAAAAAGATTTAAGGTCACGCGCTACATATATACAACATCGAGTTTATGACATAAACTCTTACTCTCTCAGCTGTACACGCTTCCTGCATTGGCCAACGCTTCATAATTTAGCTTTTCGGCGCGCGCGGGTATGAGTGTGATGTCACACTGGGTACATAACAAAGGAATCAGGTAGATAATAATGAAGACGACGAGTGCAATGGGCAATTGAATATTGTCCGTGCTGCGCTAGGCAATTGCTCAACGACTAACCTTGTTCGCCGGAGTACTCGTCCTGGGGACCAGCGTATTTGTAGGCACGAGCTTCGGCATCGGCGAGTTCGCGCAGACGAGCGGCTTTGAGAGCAGCTACCTCGGGGGTGTCGACGACAGTGCCATCTTCGGCCAGAGGAGCGGGCACGAAGGGTGCCTTGGCGCCAGCTGGGATGGAGAAAGCCTTGGCTTCGGGTGCGAAGTGAGATTGCTGCTGGTAGGCTGGCGATGGTTTGTATTGCAGCGTAGCTGGCTGGTATCCGGCATGAGCGAAGGCTGCCGACGGGCTGGCTGGTTGACCAGAGTAAGCAAAGTTCTGAGCTTGTGGCTGCTGAGATGCCTGATAGGCAGACGGATCGTAAGCGCCGCTGTCTTGACTTCTGTCCTCAGCGGCTCTCGCTGCAGCGCGAGCGAACTCGGCAAAGTGGGCGGCCTTTGCTTGAGCTACCTCGGGTGTGTCGACTACCGAACCGTCCTGGCCGGTCGGCGCTGGCGGTCCGAAATTCGCTGGCACACCTGGGTAACCGGCTGCTGGGCCGTATTGTGCTTGGCACGCGACCAACGTGCAACAGAAGACGATCTGAAATCAACCGAGAAAGCGTGAACAATCTGACGACGGTAATATTACTTAATTGGTATGTACATTTATACCGTGCCGGAACCTCGACTTTTGAATGCCGATCTCTCGCGACCTTACATAACGGCGCGCGCGAATCCTTTCATCGGACTTTTTTTTAAGGTCGCTGCAATAAAATGCATGCTTCTCAATGCTTCGCTTTTAAATAACAGCGGAGACAGCGAAACGAAAAAGGTGCTATTCAATGTCGGAATCTGGAGAGAGAGAGAAAGAAAAAAGTGAAATTTCATCGCTGTTACCGAGTCCTTTCGGGTTGAGACATTGAAAATAATGGATTTTTTTTTGTTTTAAGTCTAAAATAAATTTGACACTCGAATGAATGACCTCTCAAGGAGACTCTGTGAATGACCGAGTCATGTAATCATATAACAATACCTTATTTTAACTGGATTATTGAGTTACAAGTTTATTGCAAGATTCAATTTATCAGAGAAATTTTGAATGTGGATTCATTATTTTATCTTATTCTTTATAAGTCAAATTATTTTTTGCTATTTTATTATTTTGGCTATTATTTTATTATATTTTATTATTAAACTATTTTAGCTATATTTTTAGACTAAAATTTTATATGAAAGTGAAATTATTCAGTGTATCAATTTAGTGTAACAATATTTGTGAATTTATCGAAAATTATTCATCGAACGAACGGAAAGAAATGATAAATAAATAAATGTTTTTTTTATGAAAATTGAGTGTGATATAATTACCAACAGTAACTTTCCTTCAACATACATTGTTGTATGTTGAAACCATGCTATTGCATACATCACCATGAAATCTATACAATACAGAGTGCAATGTTTCGTAGAGCGTAGAAAAAGAATTCCATTTTGTAATCCCTTTTTTCTATGATAAGCAAATAATCGCGATACACTGCGAGAACAAACGAAAAAAAAGTAATCTCTTTGTGGCCGCATACTAGAGGTTTGAGATAATCGATTGCACAATCTATTTCTTTACATTAAGAAACTACCTAAGTCATTCGGTCTCGTTCCAAATTAATGTATATATGGCACGGTGATTTATAATCGAAAAACTTCGAAAGCAATAGTTGACAGCGCGACTTAGAAGAAAAAAAATCCATCTCAAATGGATATCGACTTGCGGCAATAGCTCGAGCCAGGTGTCCTTTTATTAATCTAGATATCATACCTAACGTACACGTTATATCACAAATGTACAAAGCTCCACCGTATCAATCAAGGAAAAATAGTATTTAAAATTAGATGTCGGGTTCGAAGTACGCTCTAATAACCGTTATTCCCTCCCTAACAATACTTGCAATTTATCTCTAATCGTAACAGATAAGCTTGAGTCGACCATTATTTACGTTCCATATACACAACAATTGTGTGTTTGCATACTAATTTAATATCCTTATTGCAGAGTTAATTTAGTGATAATATAGGACACTGTTACAGATGAGTGTGAATTTGGCGATAAAAGAAGCTAAGGTTGTTACAGCATACGCGCAAACGTTAGAAATAATTACATCATTATCATTCTGTGTGAAAATCGAAAAATTCGATGGAGGCGTTATAACATTCTCCACTACGATTAAAACAATCAGCAAATCAAAAAAGATGTTAGACGAAAGCGAAAATACAAAACGAAAAAGAGAGAGTGGCTGAGATAACAGTATTACCCAACAAAGGATAAAAGAACGCGACTTGGTGGGTGTAGGTATGCGTGGATACAAGGAGCTCGCGGTAAGGACCATCGGAAAAGCCCAGTTCTGAGGTCGGGCGCGGTCTGAACCGTTTGATCTGCGTTTCTCTCTCTCTCTCACTCACTCTGTATGTGCGGCGCTCGACTTTAACCTTTCACTTTCCTTTGTTCGGAAATGGTTGGACGCACTTACCGCGACATGCACTCGCGTAAAATCTGACGATCGATTGCGTACCAATTGTGAGAGTCGAGAAGAATGACAGAAAGAGAAAAAAGCCACAACAAAAAAATGTAAATTTAATATACTCACCAGTGAGTACATCATGTTGATTGCCTTAGAAGTATCGGTGGGGGCGAGTCGAGAGATAGAGTCAAGAAACAGTTTGGTAAGTGGCGTTTATAAGAAAGAACTTGATTGCGAAGGTATCTTCTATAAAGCTCCTCTCCGCACACTCCGGCCGAGGCGGCTCGCACTTTCAGTGTACCGAAAGAACGCGGGGAGTCTTATTTATAAGACCGTAGGACTGACTGACTCTCCCCACACCACACCCCCCGGCTTTACAATACACACGCTGCCAGCTAGTCAGCCGGTAGGGAGCTCTCTCGAGCCGCAACGTACATGCATGCATACACATACAGATGGCCGATCTCTTTCTCTCGCTCACTCATTTTTCTCGACATGCCGCGTGACTCTCTTTCTCTCTCGCTCGTACTCCAGTTCTTTTACTTGATCGCCTTCGGCCTTGTAACCTTGACACTTCCTCATTTCGCGGGGACCCTTTCGATTTCCTTTCGCCCTCTATGTCCTCACAACTCATTAATTTGTACACGGAAACGGAAACTCGCCGTTCGTTATGGGATTTACCGATTACAATGCCCGTGCGAGCGCAATGAGCTACGAAAGCACGAGAATTAGCGAACGCGCGAACTCTCATGTGCGATTACGATTTATAACGTGTACACGCGAGAATCAATTTTACCTGCAATCATATCAACGAGACTGCATCAATTTCACTTACACATCGATTAACAGTGGACTTGAAACATGAATTGAATTTTCGCCGATAAAATAGATATTAGCGCGAACGCTCGTGTCACTATTACATCAGAGGTTGACTTTGTTATGAGAAAATTTTCATGTGAGGCGTGTAATGTTAGTTGTGCAAAAATTTTGATACAATTATGGAGCATTGTGCAGCTCCACGCGCGCGTACATACACATACACACACCAATGTGCAATCAAGATTTTTCAAAAGCTTAGAAAATTAAATTTGCTTCCTGGAAAGACGCATTGCTGATATACTTGTATTTAAAATTTTCTCTCCAAATAAAGTATCGAGAGCACTCATGGCTCTAACGCGTTACCCGATCACTACTCTTAATGCAATGTACTTGTTAATGAATTTGTAATGCTCGCGTGGTGAAATAACATGGCAATATCATGATCTACAATTATTTCGTAGAATATAGCTAGTGCCAGACAACACATTGATCAACGCGTCGCGTGTAAACATTTCAAGCTGTTCAAGTTTGGTGATCACACGATCAATAAATTAGCTATCTATTCGCAGCTCCATTCATGACTCGACGCACATACACAGGACACACTAGAGCGCGAGAAAGCGTTTTCTCATGCGACAGTCGGGGAAAAATGGCGATTGACCTACTGCATTATAAACACACACGTGCATACGCGCGAGTTCGCGTACGTGAGACGCCTTCGATTCCCGCGGCTGTAGCGCACACACGAGTACCTCGATAGTTATACAGACGCTCGTGCACAAGACCCGTGACCTACGGAGCAGGATACCACGCGAGCGTTAAGCGTATGCGGACGATGCAGTAATCGCTTCCATTCTATCGCGCAGCAAATTCAATGCGTGTAACGCGTGTGTCGGCGACTTACACACGATAATTTTCATTGTTATACGACGTTATAGGCAGAGTGAAACGGTTAACTATCTTTAACCATATATGTACATTATCAGTCGTTTATTTGCATCAATGTTCAATTGTAATATGGTTTGTAAGCATTCTCAAAAACTTATTTTTTAAATATTTTAATCATTATTCAACATATTTTTCATGGCACTAACTACACTAAATAAGTTTTACGTAGAAATGATATTTTTATAGTCCACAACTGTTAAATGTTACATTCTGTAGACATTAGGTCATTGATATCATGGACTTTATAATTATATTCTTATCAGTGTCGCTATAATTAAGTTCACAACCATTAGTCTTCGGTATAACGTGACAGCTTTCGTGTAGTCTCGCCAGGAATCAACACAAAGACTGTGGTATAAAAATGAAATGCAAAACAGTAGCTTAAAAAAAGTTCGAGATAAGGTTTGCAAGCACGACGGAGAGTTGAGGACAGAAGAAAATAAATGAAGCAGAGAAGAAAAGAGTAAAGCCGTCGTGTGAAGTGACCAGAAGATAGCCTTGAACCGTCGAAGGACTATAACCGCGAGTGCGAGAGAGAAAGAGAGCGAAAGAGTACGAAGGACGGATTGCCGCAGATTCGAAATACGTACTTTAGCTTCCTCCTTCGAGACGCGTACACCACGTAATGCGGCCGTGCGCCATACACACACGCGCACACACACGCACACAGCTGCCGGATATAAAAAAAGCGGGCTATCGTATGGCGCCTCGATACTTTCTCTTTATTGGGTAGTCCTTTTTTCATTTAAAAAAAAATATATTATTAGCGAGCAATTATTAATCTTAAAAATTGTATTGAAAACCATTCATAGAACGAATTCGTGACTCTTAAAAATTGTTTTAAAGCCAATCAAGTAATACACACATTGGCATGCGTTTAACAACTCATATTAATACGTAGATGTTTTATGTTTCTTGTACTATTTGGATGAACTTGAAAATAACGTCAATATTATATATTTTTTGTTTTCAACGGAAATTTTGATAAAAAGCGGAAGATTCTATATTAAACAGGTAATTGGTTTGTTGCATAATGGTTACAAAATAATGTTAGCTCACACCACGCAAATAGAGCATTACTAAGATCAATCAACTTTTGTCCAGACCAAATGATGTAAAACAACTATAGTATTTCACCTACTTACAGCGTGAACATTCTCAAAAAGTTGATAGGCCTGTTTATACTTATCACTAATTAGATAAAATATTTTAGTTGAAAATATGTAAAAGATATATATTTCACTTTTTATTCATCACTTAATTTACTGCTAAAAGTAAATAATCCAAGTAACATGAAAACAGTTATGAACAAAAAATACTTGTTCTGTGACTATTGAAGCAAAACAGTGAATCTTACAAAATAGTTGAACGATTTAATATATAGAAGTGTATAATGTTTTATAGTAAATTATATGTATATAGTAGCATAACTTGTAATACCTATAATAAACAAAAATAATTTTTAGGTACGACAACTATGTACGAACGGATCCAAGTTTATCATTGACATCTAACTGTATTTAATCTAAACAATTATATTTTTCACAGAAATACTATTTTATTTATTAAGATGACATTAAAAATGTCTAATTGTATATTTGTCAATTATTGTTATTGAAAGATTTTCATTTTATATTTAAAAACTTTCAAATTATGCCTCAATGGCTGCCAATTTATTTGTAAACCTTTTAACGTCGTCCCTTTGAAACGATTTCTGGCACATTGTCTTTGAAAAAAGTAAACGTTTCAGTAAAAAGCAAACCTTACAGTAATTTGCATTGAAGGACCTAGTTTATATTATTACGTGTTTTATTGAATTATATAATAGGGTAAAATCAAAGAGCTATTGTTTTTTCTCACTTCAACTATAGTTTGAAACAATTAACATAAAAATTATGTATATATCCCATAAGCCTATTAACAATTTTTAAATACTTCGTGGATAATAACAGAAAAATTTTGAAGTTTGGTATTTTGCTATAATCTAACATATTATATACTTTAAGATTTCTTTATACTTGCATTTTGTACAGCTATGAGTATGTAAAATACATATAAGAGCTCCTTAACATTTAAAAATTTAAATCCATCACAATATTTTCATATTATAATTAATAGTATTGAAAAAATTTTTTAATGAATATCGTTGAGCTTTTACAATCAAATAAATTATTTTCAAGATAATTATCCACCAGAAAAAAAGTATTCTGATAGATTAAAATAGTTGCGTGCTTTTGACAGTCACTATAAAAAGTGACGTAATGAACAGTACCTAGAGAGCTATATGTCACAACTTTATTACAAACAATCGATTCGAAGTCAGTAGAAATAGTCGATACGATGTCATAGTGCATAACATCGTCATTCTTAAACATTTTTTATTATGCAATGGAAATTGCTAAACAGCTAATATTATTTTAAATGAGTAATTATTTTGTAATTAATTATTACACAGATACAAGTAAAAATTGCGAGTGTTTTCAAGTTTAAGTAAATCGAGTTCTGTTTTTCACGTAAAAGAGAAGTCGGCAGCTCTACACCATATTAATTATTATACATTTACATCCACATTAATGAATTGCTATTAGAATCGACCAACTTTTACTCAAGTTAACCGATGTAAAAATAAATATTTTATAGCAATACTATCCACAGTGTACAAATTCTTAAGAACTTTTTTGGCTTATTTATATTTATAATTAACTAGAAATGGAGAAAAATATTATGGTTAGACATTAAAAGTATAAAATTCATAATTACAATTTATTTTTGAAACGTAACTTATATTTGAAAGTTACTTTTGTATTCTTGATAGACTTTCTCACGAATCTTTTGATAAAACTGTCGTGAAATCTGACTTAACATTTGTTTGTTTAATATGAAATACTTATTTCAAATTTATAGCAATCTTTTCGATTATATAATTGAATAGATCACTTAATAAACTTGAAAATAGAAAGTTCAAGAAAGCTTCAAAATTATACTTGCTTATTTTTTAATTAACATAAAGTTTACTGCAAGCTGAAATAAAATAAGCAACTCAATTATTTTCTCAATTATTCACAAATAATCATTTATTTAAAACTATTGTGGTATAGTGTAAAATTTTCTATGTCAACGCCTATTTCTAAAACATCTTATTTATTTACAAGAACGAAATCGATTCTCTGACAGTACATAAGTAAAATCAATAATGTACATAAAACCGTTACATATCCGAACTGTAAATACAATTTAAAAAATTAATATTTAAAGTTCAAATTCTTGTAGCAATTGGGGACCAACATTTTAGTTTTGTTGAATGTAAATTATTAGAATTCAAAGTAGAGAGTGTAAGTAGAGTAGTAAAAGTTCATTACAATAAATCACTTGTTAATTTTGATAGCAACTTGATAACTGTCTTGTTTACTAACATATATTATGTATAATGATAACTTTGATGATTTAGAATTGAGCTAACTGGCTTTGACAATGACCGTTTTTACTGAGAATCGTAGTAATTAAGTTACAAGCACGACTTGCTCAAAATGGAAGCTAAGGAAGTCATGACGCCAAGTGGCAAGCAAAGTTGGCATTTCGCGCAGATTTCCATCTTAAGGGTAGCAATTCTGAAAAACCTATCACCGACGGTATGGAGAGATAAAATATGTGCAAGAGAAAAGACGAGTAAAGAGGTCTCATGTATGAGTCCCATTTAGAGCCTGATGCATCTGATATATCGTCGGATTATGTGTCGTACATATTATGGCGTACCTGCGCAATCAAGAAATGACGCCGCTGACGGAGATAACTGAGAACAAGTTCAGTGTTGCGAGGGGGCTAGCCTGTGGTACTAGAGCTCAATGTTTCTTTTCACACGATATCGTAAAATTTTGAAGGCGACCTCCGACTCTCATAATCCTATTGTCGTCGAGAAGCGGACAACAACGACGAATAACATATCTCCACGGAAGCCAAGAGTTTAGGTTCCAGATAGAAATACTTAGCCTGAACAGCGTGGAGTAGATAGCGAAAGGCAGAGAAAATCTCGTCGTCTCCTAGATCTTTCCCAGGACAAGATTCATCATTAAACGTACTTCGCAAGACTGACCATTGTAATACGTAGACATATATATGAGTGAGGTAACCGAACGCGGAGAAACATCATGAATATCTCAAGCAATTGCTTAGTCTGACGAGATATATTCAGCGCTACAGGTCGAATAAACTTTCATTCAAGCTCAGAGATATACGGAGATTATAGATGACCATAACAACCAGTCTTTAAAAAGCCAGTCATAATCATGCCATCAGAGGAGTAAACCATGCAACCAATGAAGGTAGACGTCTATCATCGTTGGTTACAGAGGATAACAGAGACTTCGAAAAGCATAGTATGTTGGGCTGTTCTTTATCCGTAAGTAATTTTATGTGACATCTGGAAGGAGCGTGTAGCTCACTCAGTTGACTCAAAAGGTGGTCTGCTTTAGAACTTTTTCAATCTTACGAGGTTGTTCAAAATTTTCGAATAAGTTGACTCAAACTTTGAGCATCTCGAAATAGCTAATCCCATATTTTGAGGCCTACGAAAGAAGTTTCGGAAGAGGGATTCGGCAGATTTAGGGTAACTCTTAATAAGCTAAGTCGATTTTTTTTTATGAATGTACATATTCTCACGATTGTAGCGTGGCTTCTTCTCTTTTACCGCACCAATGTACTTTGTTTCATGAGTATTCAAGCTCGAAATAAAATTAAAGTTCGATAAAGTCGTCTGTATTTATTTGAGAAAAAAAACCGACAACAACCTCCTTTCTTGCTCTGTAACCTGAACATATGATGTAGCAGAAAGTATGAATTAACAAATCATCTTATTTAAAAAATAATTTACGTAACCCAATAAAAATGTAAATATTCGGTTGAGGAGTGTAGATAAGCAATGTATGTTTCAAGCCACTTCGTGGAGGCTCCAGGTGGCTTGAAACATACATAGGGGACTGCGCATGCGCAGGCGCCGTGGGTGGTCGGAGAATAGGTGGTACTTCTCGACGACCCCCCAGAGTCCTTCCACTGACCTAGATGCGACACCCGAGAGTTCCTCCCCCTGATCCAAACGCTCCCCTTAATATAAAATGATAAACTTTAATAGGTTCCTCCTATAGAGATTATTAAGGTAGGGCTCTATATAGAAGTTGGTAGGGCGCTCGGTAAACTATATACGCTGGCTCGGCGTGGGCCCTCGGAGAAAGGGTTGCGTTTCTAGCTTAAGGTGTGCTTGCTAAGGTATATATGTATTGGCTAGGCGCGTCCTCAATAGCGTGGGTGCTTCTCTTTCTCTCTCTCTTCTTCAACAGGTTATAGCTGTGTATAGTAGAGGGAGTATGCGTTCTAGCAGCATGCGCACGCCGTATAGCGTGGATGCTGCTCTCTCTCTCTCTCTACCCATCTCACTTAAGAAATCTAAATATATTTAAATAATAGTTTATAGGGGGGGAGGGCGGATATTGTAGCTATAATAAAAGACAGTCATTTTTTATTTAATTTTCATTTATTAATATAATTTTATTACAAAAAGCATTTGGCATTACATTATAAATTTTGTTTGAAATGATTTTTTCAATAGTAATAAACTAAACTAATTTTATCACACCACCGCTGATTGAATTGTACTCCACGATTCGACCATGTAGAATTAAACAGTAGGCAACAGTATTGTCAGGAAAATTATCTTTTGTGTAAAATTTAAGGCGTACATCTACAAATGCAGTCTTGATTGATTCATTTTGTTTGGAACAATCAATAACTATTAGAGGACGTTATTTATAAAATCATTCTTGTTGAGCAATGACTCATTTTCATTCCCATAGTAAGCGTTTTGAAAATTAGCATAGATGTCATAAAATACTGCGTACTGATTATTTTCAGTATACCGATTAAGATTTTCATTAGCACATAGCTTAACAAGGACTCCTCAAGCTAGAGACGCCACCCCTCTCCGAGAGCTCACGCTGAGCCAGCATATGGCATACCGAGCGCCCTACCAACTTCTATAGGGTCCTACTTTAACAACCACTATAGGAGGATCTTACCTTGGCAATCGACCTATTAAAGTTTATCATTTTCTATTAGGGGGAGGAACGTCTGGATCAAGGGAAGGACTTTGGGAGGTCATCAAGAGGCACCACCCATTATCCGACCACCCACGGCGCCTACGTATGCGCAAACCCCTATGTATATTTCAAGCCACCTGGACCCCCCACGAAGTGGATTAAAACATACATTGCTTATCTACTCTACTTGTAAACTTATCTCATAGATGGTACGTATAGATTTTCAAATAATTTGTATTTTTATTTATTTCTTTCTTATTTTTCTAGTTAGGTAGAAAGGAAAGGAAAAAAAGGAAAAATGAAAATTATAGGAAAATGAGTAGAGAAGAATGGAATAAGAGTTGAATGAATAAATAATTGAAGATAAGAGTAGATATAAAAATAGCTGAAACAAATAAGTGAAATCATTAAATAGAAGCATTAATCGGTATCAATAAATAAATTGCATGCTTTGAGAAAATTAGTTGACCAGTTAGCAATCTTATTGTTGAGAATCTTCAAAATATTGATACTATTAAAAGGAGAAGGGCATTTTGATCTTTTAAGACATTTAATTAAAACAGTAGATCTAACAAATGCATCAAGTCTTATCGAAAAGTTATTTTGCGTTTCAAAGTTGCAAGTCGACAACGTCAACCGTCAGAGCCTCGCGGAAAGATCAATGCAGCTCCCTATCAACTATTTGTTTATATTTCTCTGCGGCAAGTTGTCTGCTGAACAGCCTTTGCACGCTTATTTCGCCTCGTAAGAAGCAATGTGACACCAAACAATTCTCTACGATCTTAATACATACGGTTTAATATGAAGTTTAATAATAGTAGCATCCAAAAACTGGTAAGTAGTGATTAATCCATGACGATAAATGTTTGTTTCCTTGTTTGTAAATGCTAAAGCGATTATTTCTTATCCCGTATCCTTCTTCATTCCATGCTTTTGTATGTATATGTACGTCGTAATCTGCACGCCTAGCAGGTTACTTAGAAAATGAAGGACTTGTGCTTCTTTGCCCCGCGTAAATAATCAGCAAATAGAATCGCAAGCTTAATTTTAGACTCGAATTCACAGCTCTTCCTTTACAAATATAAGTATATTAATAAATATTTTTAAATAGTATAGAATATTCTTTATTAATTTCATATTGCACTATAAGAGTGTTGATATTTTTATAAACAATAGTTCGACAATATGCTGTTATGAATAACTAATACAATACTATCATAATTTACAGTTCTAGCTTACGTTTCTAAAACATTAAAAAATGCTATTAACAAAGATTATCCCATTGAAGCAACTGCAGTGAAATAAGAGAACGCGGTCCTTAAAATCTGTAAGTATAAAAGATAACTTTAATATGAATGATCATGATATATTAACAACCATCACATTAAAACAAATTTATCATGTTGATTAAAATTATGCGTCGCTTTAGTAGTATTTAAGTCTCTGTAAAGGCTCGGTTAGAAACTCCGTATCCATTTGAGCTTTCAAAATAGCTCAAGGGTACTGAACTCGATAATTACTTCTCGTATAAAACCTATACATATTTGTCGAAGCGTCAAGTATCTCTGAATATTCGAAATTATACTTTATTCAACAATATTTCTGATAATTATTTAGCTAAATCTGAAATTATGTTTATTTATTTTTGAAAAATGTATTTAAGTTCGGCTGATTTACGTAAAGCTCGAACCACTTGAACCTATATCCAAACTTTTACAGAAGAATAATAACAACTAATGAAATTCAAAGTACTTATGACAAAGTACTTACCAAACCACATGTCTCGAAACTCATTATAAGCAACGGACCCGCTGTTAATTGGCATGGTTTCTTAGATCTTAACATCATAAGTCTCATATCATTTTTTGATTTCAAAGGGAATTGATACCATCCTGATGAATAGCTAAAATTTAAACAAATGATTAGTTAGTTATACAGATAATATTTATTAAAATATACACTTACATCCATATGAACAGCTCATTACTAGTATCTATTAACTTTTGTCCAGGCCAACTAATATAAAACAAATATATAATAGCTGCAAACCACAATGTGAAAATTCTCAAAAAGTTTATTGGTCTATTTATATTTATTACTAACTAGAAATTAATATAATTATAAATTTAACACAGGTAAACAGTAGACAAAACTTGAGTTATGTATAAAGTTTTCACCACTTACATCAACACTAAAAGTGGATAATCCAAGTATCATGATGGCAGACATAATAAAAAAACATTTGTTACATGCTTCTTGAAGCAAAATGGTAAGCCTTGAAAAATTAATAAAAAATAAAATAGTAAATCTTAAGACAATCTAACAATTTAAGAACAAAATTTATTAATAATAAATTAAAACTACATTGAAGATATAAATCATGATCTATCTATATATTATATAAGTAAGGATACTTGGTTTTAATAATCTGAAATATTTAAATTATTAATAACCTTATTTTTTCTTTAAAAATGTAACATTAATTTTTTCACACAATGGCTACGCGGATGTAACACGAAACCGTATTCAATTAATAAAACTAATCTTTAAGTGATCTAGTGATTTTTAAAGATAAACACGTCTTCACTTTTGAATTCAGATTATCGTGGGTAGTTAGTCCCTGTAGAAACGCTTTGTCATTGAAGTGTCCAAGTACATTGGACATGTACGAAAAATTTGACAGAAAAAGATGAAAAAAGAAACGGGCGATTACTGTGAAGAAAAATTCGATTCAAGATGCAACGAGCGAAACGATTTTATTATGGCAAGGCCGGAAAAATAACCACTGACATTTTTAATGCGATCACAGTTTATATAGTTATGCATGCAAACATTTTCCCGTCGGTTTCTGGTATAAAATAATGGTCTTTATTTTATATACTGAATTGATGTTGAAATATACATCATTTGCAAATTCTACCGTGGAGTGCTGTCTCCATATATATATATATATATAGTTCGTGTATAATTTTTTGGCCAGCCTATACTGAAATTATCAAAAAGTTTTGTATCTCGCTCAGAAATAGTCGTAGGTAAACCCGCGGGAGCTCATTTTAAAGGGTAAAGAACAGTACTCGTTGAACCGTGATTGCGAGTAGACGTGTGCCGCATTCTGTCCGTGAGTCCGTTTTGTTTACATTTACTGCTCGGTGATATGTAAGCCCAGGCTCGCCATAATCGGTATATATCGCGCTAAGTTCGGCGTTTAGTGTATACCTGTCGCAGTTTTTGCGACTCTTTTACGTTTAAGCTATGGCTCTCCAAAATAAGAGCTTAGCTGAAAACTCAGTCAACTCAAGTCTCTCCTCCCAAAAAGTCACACCTTCCTACGCTCAAGTTACGCACCAACCTAAAAGTGAACATGCCACAGTAATTGAAGCTGTGGATGGATTATCCATTGACGACTACATTGACGGCCTTGAAGTGCTAATCAGTGTTAATAGTATCAAATTCATATAAAAAATCTCAGGTGGTCCTGTGTTCGTCTTTCTTACAGATCAAGCTAAAGTGGATAGTCTTGAAAACAAATAAATACGCGTACAAGATCATCAATTACCTATTCGACTCCTTATCGAAAAAAACAAACGAGTCGTAATTTCTAATGTTAACCCAACTATCCCGAATCAACTTCTAACAGACACTCTGAAAGGCCTTGGAATCCAGCTTGTGTCACAAATACACTATATTCGAGCTAGTACAAGCAAACCCGGCCGCACACACATTCTTTCATTTCGTCGACAAGTATACATAAAGGAAGGCAATGAATCGCTTCTGCCTGAGTCTCTACAAATCAATCACAACAACACCAACTACTGGATCTATTTCAGTACCGACTCTACAAACTGCTTTATTTGCAATCAAGCAGGTCACATAGCCAAACAGTGCCCGAGAAATAATACGCCTTCTACTGCAACAACTCAAGAACACTCAACGAATGAAGAATTGGACTCTTCTTCAATTTCCGACGCCACAATAACAGTATCACTGTCTCCTACTGTAACAGTTAATTCTCCTCAAGCTTCCTTCCAAAAGAACCTTGTCGCTCTCTGATAACTCTTCATTAATCGGCACTAATGCGACCGATTCGGATAACAGTAAAAAAGATCACGAATTTGCCCAGCCTGATGTACCAAAGAAATTGCTCAAACAACCTGTTAAGAAAAAAATCAAAAAAGACGATCCAAACTCTCGTAATGATACTCCTCATGATTCTGATGCTTATGATATTGAAGACTCTTTGGAATCTGTGCGAAAAGAGATATCGCTAAACTCCACCCTATACTCACTGGATTATGACAGCTTCAAGAAATTCTTGGTTGAAACATACGGTAAAGGCAACACTTGTGAAATTGCTCGGAGCCTTACTACCGATATTGCGGGACTTCGAAAAATGCTACTTGACCTCAAATCTCATATTTCTGACTCAAAACTCAAGGGCAGATGCACCAGACTCATCAAAAAGTTGGAAGCCAATAGTTTTTCTGAATCCGACGATGATCCCTACGCAGACTCCTCTTCATGATCGCTCTTATATTATAAATAATGACTGAAGAATTTACTTCCAAACTCAAAGTTATTTTTTGGAACTGCCGCAGTGTCAAAGCAAGGTCTAAAGAAATACCTCTAGTTCTACAAAAAATCGACATCCTAATTTGTGCTGAATCCTGGCTCAACCCCAGTCTCGATGAAAATCTTCAATTCCCGGGCTTCAAAACACTTTGCAAGGACCATCTTCACAAGCAAGGAGGTGGTATCGTCGCTTTTATCAAAAATAGTTTAGCGTATGTTGAAATAACTAACCTTTGTCATCCTGATGTGGACTTTGAACTCTTAGCTTTTATAATTACTAATGTTTCTCCGAACATCGCTTGCCACGCTTATTACAGAGCCCCTGGTCTCGACCATTCTCAACTCGCTTGGAATACAATTTTCAACAACATCGAAATGAACTCTCATACCTTAGTGATGGGTGATCTTAATGCCCACCATACTGCGTGGAATTGTAACGATTTTGATACCAACGGTGAAAGATTACTCGCGGCTCACAATAATTCAGATACGTTTTTGCATTATTTTGACTCTTTAACTTACTACCGTAAAAACTCTAACTATTTCTCTAATCTTGACCTAATTTTCTTCACTAATAATATTGCAGATAAAATCAATGTACTAGTAAATGATGAAACCTGGGGCTCTGACCACTTTCCGATTTTCATCGATATCGATGTTAGTAAAAGTATCTATCGTAAAAAAACTTTTAATCTCAAGTCAACTCGTACAAAGTGATCTGATGTTAACGTGAACCTTGAGAATAATTTTTCCAAATTTTTAAACTCAGAACTTGTCTCGGCTGACCCTTGCGACAAATATGCTATGTTTACTGAAACCATCTCTAACGCTATCAAATCCAATACTCCAATCAAGCGTAACTAACAATAAACATAGGAACCCGGTTCCATGGTGGGACTCGGAATGCGACAGAGTTAAAAGGTTACGTAGAGCCGTGTTTAAAAAATGGAGATTTACTAAAAACCATAGTGAATACATCGACTACAAAAGAGCGGCTGCGGTTGCCCGTAAAACCTTCAAAAGCAAAAAAAGAACTAACTTTCGAAACTTCGCAGAATCCATTAATTTTAATATCAACCAAAATTTCGTCTGGAATAAGAGCAAAATTTTAAAAAATAAATGGGTCAAAGTAACGCCTTCTAGTTCCTCTGAAAACCACCAAAACTCCGACCTCATTAACGAGTGCTTGGACCGCATAAGCCCTAGTTGGTGCCAAAACAATCCCGAAAGCATACCTTCATGTCAAGCAAACCCTCTACTCGAATCGCTTTTCAATTTCGCTGAATTCAACGTAGCGCTTATCAATAAAAGTACCAAATCTTCTTGTGGCGTTGACGGCATCGACTATGAAGCCATCCAACGGCTCCCAATTAAATATAAGCTTCTACTAGTTGATATCTTTAACGAAATGTACCAAGCTAGCTCTTTTCCAGTCGACTGGAAAATTTCGTATATCCACTTTATCATTAAACCCGGAGGTAAAGGTGTTAGACCAATTGCTTTAAGCTCATGCTTATGTAAAGTTTTTGAGACTATGCCAAAAAATAAACTACAGTGGTGGGTGGAAACAATATTCTCCCTGAATGTTAAACAGGCTTTAGAAAAGGACAGTCCACTATCGACAACCTGATTGGCTTAACCCTCTGCGTTGAAGAAGCTTTCCACGAGAAAAGAGACGTCTTAGCGGCATTCCTCGACATAGAGGGTGTCTTTGACAATGTCATCATTGCAATACTTCTAGAAAAACTAGCGGAAGTTGGCTGCCCTCTCATCTTTATCAAGTTTATTCAGCATCTTACCTGGGAAAGAATCATTCTCACTGACATACTAGGTGTAAAGTCTAGAACAGTCAGCAAGGGCGTTCCGGAAGGAGGAGTTTTAAGCCCTTTACTATTCTGCATCTACATAGCCTTTATTTGCAATAAAATACCTAAATCGGTTCAAGTAGTCAAATTTGCCGACGACATTGCCCTCTATTGCAAAAGACGCCCTCTTTCCTCCTGCAAAAGACTCCTAGAAAAAGCAATTGACATAATTTTCAACAACCTTAGAGAAATAGGACTGGACTTAGCTCCCCTCAAAACAGGATTCCTACACTTTAATCGTTCAGGGGTTAAGCCAGGTGAAACAGAACTACAAATTAAGAACAATATCATTCCATCTAGTGAAACAGCTCGGTTTCTTGGTATACTCTTTGACTACCGCTTATCTTTCAAACAGCACAAAAGAACTTTAAGAGCTAACAATATCGTAAAGTACTTATGTGGTGTTACGTGGGGGTCTAGTCCGGAAACTCTATTAATTTTATACAAGAGCTACGTTCGATCAATTCTAGATGATGGCTGTTTCGTCTATTACCCAAGTACAATCGAGCACTCATCTATTCTCGAAAAAATTCAGTTTGAAGCCATCAGACGATCTCTAGGATATCGAAAGAGTACGCCTACTAATATCTTGCTGTCCGAGTCCAAACTGACCTTTTTTGAAGATCGTGCCGTCTTCCTTTGTAAAAATTATCTCAACAAAATCCAGTCCAATACTAGTCTTCCAGTACATCGTAATGTACTTCGAATCTTTAATAAAACACACCACAAGCAGAGCAAACTTCAATGCGAGCAAGCGTTTGTTAATCAAATGTATTAAACACTAATTTTAACAATAACAATGTCTATAGCAATAAGCACTACAATCTATACACGAACGATTACTATACAATATATAGTTGCATCTCAGTTGACACCGAATTTGGTCTAACTCTTCGTAAAGCTATGTATCCCAACTCTCTAATTGCTCGACGATCAACAGACGACAACGCTTATGCGATTTACACCGACGGTAGCAAGACCGACACTGGAGTTTCTGTAGGATCCGCAGCTGTCTGCGATCACCTTAACTCCTCACTACCTCGTAGTCTCTCCGCCGTAACGTCGATATTCACAGCTGAGTGTGTAGCGATGAACGACGCGATCAGTTTTGCCCTAAATCACCCCAACAAAAATGTCAACATATTCACTGATTCCCTGAATGCTCTGCTTTCCCTAAGAAATATTAATCTCAGCATAAAGGTTAACCCTTATATCCTAAATATTAGACAAAACATTCTTGATTATTTCAAAAAGAGTAGTAACAACAGTAAAATTTAACTCATCTGGATCCCAGGGCACTCTGGTATTATAGGCAACGAACAAGCTGATTCTCTGGCGAAACAATCCACTAATGTACCCGCTGATTGCGATTTCAAAATACCTTTCACCGACCTAAAAATGTATCTCAAAAACGACGCCATAAAAAACACTCGTGAAATCATAACCGAGGAAGGAACATTCAAGGGAGTTAACTACTTCAACAATTTTTACGACACCAAAGCTAAGCCTTGGTTTTCAAAACTCAATCTCCCCCGCAAAGCAATAACCACTATTAACCGCTGCAGATCCAGTCACTACAACCTTAAAGCTTCTCTTCATAAAATAAAGTTATATACAGATACTATTTGCGACTGCAAACACGATTACCAAGATCTTGACCATATTCTCTGGCAATGCCCGCTGTACGACGACCAGCGCATCAAATTCATCAAAAATATCTCTCTAGCCGGAATGTTCCTTCTTTCCTCTAGCAATGTACTAATAGCCAATGTTAATGCCAAAATTGCTAACTCCATTGTTGCGTTTTTCAATTGTAATTTATCTATCTAGATTTAAGTTATGTATACACATCTATGTATAAATAGTAGCTGCTACAGTAGCAAAATAATCCTTGTATTGGGTTAAAATTGCTTAAATAAAAAAAAAAAAAAAGGGTAAAGAACAAAATTTTTTTTCAAAATGGAATTTTAATAGTAGATACTTATTTTTCTTGAAAAAAAAATAAACATTTTCTTTCTATGGAGTTTTTTTGTGCGGTGTACACGTTCGAAGATAAACGAACTTGAAAAAAGAATGATTTAAAAAATGAAATCAACGTAACTTTAGATCGGCTCGATAAAAAAGAATTTTGTTGCAATCATTTGAAAGAGGAGGAAAGTACGTATCGATTCCATTTTATTTTTCAAAAATCTGTAGACTTTTTCAAAAGTTAGAAAGCGGTTTTTTAGCGGTTTGAAAAAAATGAAAAATGTTATTCAGTTTTTTTAGTGTAAAAAATGCTTTTTCAAATGCTCATTTGAAAAAAAAGCGAAATATGAAATTTACCCTTTAAAAGCCCTCGCGGATTCACCTACGACTATTTCCGAGCGAGCTACAAAACTTTGAATTTTTGATAATTTTAGTATAGGCTGGCCAAAAACTTATGCACGTAACTGTATATATATATATATGCTCATATTTTTATAAATATTCTTTAAAATTTGATAGTTTTTAACTTTTTGTAACAACTAGAAAATCGACGTTTTATCGCAAATGATACTCTTAAAAATCGTTTTCAAGGAGAAAATATAAATTTTTCAAAAATTTTAAATACCTTAAAATTTTCTAGAACAATTGGCTCTAATGCTTTTGCAACAATAGTTCAATCGTAAAAACAATTTTTACAGAAAAGACTCTGATCATTCGGTTGATGACATGACATTATTACAACTGTAAGTAAAGAAAAATGGATTGAATCTTGTTGTCAGTAACTTACTCTAAACATCTTTTGTGCGTTTTTATGCAAAACATAATATTGTTATTTATGACATCTGCAATATCTTCTGAATTGTATGTCACTGGATCTGAAACAATTTTATTTAACTCCTCTAGTTTGTATCTGGAATTAAAAATAACTGTTTCTCACAGAATATATAAATTTTCAGAATTATTTTATATAATAGGTTAAAAAAATTAAGTTAAGTTTATGAAATTTTATATTAATTAAGTTTCTTACTTTATTATGTTGAATAATCCAAGTATGTGCTGCACACAATTAATATAAGTTCCATCGATTGCGGTAGTAATGGCCATATGTCCAATTCCAGAGAATAAGATTAAAAGAAAAATATGATTAAAGTATTTTTCTTGATCTACGAAAAATTCACCATACAGGCATAGCATTTTTGGTAAGGGCTCTTTTTTTGTTAAAATTTCATTCAAAAGCATTGGAATGACTGCGGTTGACGTAATATACAATACACAGCTCCCATATGCATATACTGTAAAACATTAAGTTTAATTATACATTAATTTGTTTTGCAGGTTTATAGTGAAATATCCTGTTATATGTTCTACACCTAAAAAATGATATTTTTATAAGTTAAAGACAATAATTAAAAAAAATCTTTTCTATAGAAGAAGTTTCAATCTCAATGCAATTTTTTTATAATTAATACATAGTAATACATCATTTATAAAATAAATATTGATTTACCGCTGTATATGATTGTCAATAATCTTCCCTTCTTAGCAAAATGACGTAGTACATTTTTTTCTTCTTCATCGGTCACCTGTTTCCAATCTTTTGTTATTTCTTCATACAAATGCTGAAACTATAAGTTTCTTTTCAAATATTCACTATATAGATATATAGTCAAACATTAAAATAAATTTAGATCGAAAACATAAAATTAAAAAGATGAGGTATATTTTTGATATTATAAGGATATGGTCAACAATATCCATTCAGTTTGCAAAGGTTACGTTCGCACTGGATACAATAAGATAGCGGTTCGCAGCTACCGCAAGAGGCTTTCATTTATTGTTATTTTATCTGCAAGTACCACTTACTGGTTTTTTTATTCATAAAATAAGAAGATGATATTACCATATTCAAAATGAAATGCATTTTAACAAGTTTTTATTAAATTATTTAATTCGAAAATTCTTTTTATATTGGACTATAACATCTCCCTATATTACATCAAGATAACGTGGATTTGATCCCTTTTATTTGATCCCCTAATATACCTCTGCTTACTCTTCATTTTCTTCGTTTGCCCTCTTCCGCTCTATTTGTTCCCTGTCGTTAGTAGTAAATCGCTAGTAAGGATCGGCTACTAAACACTATCGCGAAAGACGATTGCAATCGCGTTGGTAATGATGTGCGTTTGAGTTCGAGCGAGGATACATAGAGAATAGGCAAGTTGATGGAAAGATACAAAAAGATTTCTTAAAGTTAGGCATTATTGATCACCAACTTCGTATATGAATTCTATAAATCAGAGACCGGGAGTATCTGACACATTCGAGTCGTGCGTACCCCGGAAACAATTCGGATTTATGGAGAGAGAAAAAGAGGGAATCGCATTTTTTTTTTTTATTTCCTCTATGTTTATTTACAATCTATCTAACAAGGTAGACAATAAGTAAATAAGCTTGCTATTAAAAATTAACAAATAATAAAGCATAATACTGCTGTGAGTGTTATGCTTATTTTTAATTTACATATATATAATTTATAATTTCATATTTATATATTTAAATATTTATATATTTTTATTTTTTATTTATTTATTTTTATTTTTATTTATATATTTATATATTTATATATTTAAATATTTATATATTTAAATATTTATATAAATTTTGGTTTTATTGAATATCAATCCCATTGTGTTTCTTTAGTCTAGTAGTGTCCATCCTTGGCTTGAGAAACTCACCAAAAAGCTCGTTTAGGTGGTTTTGCAGTCTGGTGTTATATTTTTTGTAAAACGTTTTAATTTCTTCTTTTGTTGGTTTTTCTTGTAGATCATTGTGAATGACGTTATTTGGTACGAACCATAGGGTCCTCACGATATTTTTTTAAATTGGATTATTTAAATTAGGATCTTTCTAGGACTTCTATGTTTGAGTTTGAGGTATCCCATGTAGGTACCCTATACTTAAAATGTATTGTTTAGTGGATAATGATCTATTCCTTTATATTTAAAATTTTTTACATTTTCTTATATAAATGCGTGTTCATATATATGCAGACACTAGTACTATTTAAAATGGAAAGATTCAATATCTTTCCAAATATGTGGATGCAGGTCAGCAGAATTATCTGTTCACCGTTTACTATTGTTATTTTATAAGGAATTATAAGAAAAATAATCGTCAAGTTGTTTTGATAAGCCAATATTTGACCAAATTAATAGTATAAAAATTTATGATCGAGCAAATAGATCAAAAACATTCATAAACTCCAAGTATTATATCATTCGCACCAGTGCAACGTAAAGAACTCATGCCAGCTGAACTGAATAATGTTTTTATTTACTCATCTTTATAACATTGTTGAATGCTATGTTGCGCTGTTATATAATCTAAATTTTACATGACTAATTGTAAATGTTAATAAAACTTAAAATAATTAAGATGATTATTTTCAAAAATTAGGTTTCTTTACATTCGATGCCGACAGTGAAAAATTCTTATGTTTGTTGGTTTAAATGCTTTTGACGACGAACTCGACGAGTAATTTCGATTATTTCAGCGCCAGTAGTAATTACAGAAAGGATTGCATGACGTTTCTCTATGATTATGACTAATTAATTTTTTGAGTATGATAAATGAATGTTCGTTTTAATGGCGATATAAATTCAAATTAAACTATAACTATTTATTTATAAATAATTAATTCACGGGATAGTCAATAGTTTTTCAGTTGCCAGATTATATTTACATTGAAATTGAGGAGAGGGTAATTATATATAATTAAGTGAACAACGTAAAAATCTGTTTTTCAGTTTTTTTTGTAAATTAAACTGTTTAAGACGATATATCTTAATTTTCAAATTCAACTCTTTATCTTGTTTTTCTTGAGATCTAGCAATTCGATCTAATATGTAAATGTAAAAATCAATATTCAAATGAAATTATTTATAAATAATATCTAACTAATAATTATTTACAAAATAAACTGATCAGAATTTTATCTTTCTAATACATAAAATGAATAATAAGTATCCAGGGACTTACATACATTATCTATGCTAAGTATCGATGTAATGAGTCTCGTTATAATTCCTATGAAATAGCAAAATCCAGAAAAGTTTTCAAGCACAATCTCTATATTCACGTCTTCATAAAAACATTCTTCTATACCCCTTATCATCTACAACATAGAATTGAAAAATTAAATATTACTTAAAAGTTATTGATAAAACTATATAATAAACACTTTAGTTAAACGAAGGTATGTCTAATTTGATAAAAGTTGTCTTTTAATTAACATTATAATTACACGTTTTAGTTACTACAGAATAATATACTAGAGATCATTATTTCGTACATGAATTATGCTTCTGATCCCTCAATTGGCAATGACTATTCAACTTTTTATGCCGAAATTATAATGTTTAATGCTACACCTATATAATCCTTAGCTACCTCATTTTTGGCGCCAACCTTAGTTGCCACACTAGAGCGATTTTCATCCTAACCATATATTCATCTATTTTAAATAAACTTATTTAGTTTTGCAACGATAAAAATTGTGCTTAGTCTTTAACTAATGTTTCATAAGATAGTATATATGACTTTAATTTAATATTAAAAAAAGACATAATTTGTAAAAAAACTACGAAATAGTACATTACGATACAAGTGCGGGAAAGTAGATTCTTTTTTTTAGAGAAACTCTTTCCCGAACATGTGTCGTCCGTATTTTTTAATACGACGTGTAAAAAATGCGATTTTTAACGCATGTTTTCTGCCGAGCGTGCGGGAAAACCGCATTTTGCGCATGAAGTATCGAAAAATTATTTGCTTACTGTTTAAGGCTTTGTCATGACTGACCCCAGTGTGGCACCTAGGATTAACAAAACTAGTGATTATAAGTACTGTTAGGATCGCTGATTGAATTCTTTTTATTATTTACAGCCTAACGTATTTCTACAGAATTAAAAATAGGGGTTGTAGAGGTAAATTTTTATTTTTCATTCTTTTTGTTTCGGTTTTTGCATGGTGTCCCATTCCATTCAAGAGACCATTTTTGTTATTTGTAAAGTCTAATTGGGTTGATAAAAAGCTGAATAAAACATATGTTTTCACAAAAAATGAAATAATACTTGTTCAACTCCTATTTTCAACTCCTACAGAAAATATTTAATTAAAAATAATTAGAAAATTTCGGTTTAGCGATGCATGAAAACCCTACAAACAATAATTTTGTATAATGATAAGTAGTATTGACTGGTCTATCAGTTTTATCATAAAAATTTATGAAATGTGTCAATTAAGGGTTTAATCATAATTTTCTACGTGTAAATATAATTCAATATATTCCTCATAATTTCAAAAGATACTCAATACTGCTAATTTATTTGTACAAAACTTATATTTCCAACTAGTATTTATCAAAATCTCAATATCCGAAAAAAGATGTTTTTAAATAAAACCGTCGAATAACGCAGGAGTATTTGTCCTCGAGAATTTTTCATACTTATAATTTATGAACATTCGTTCCTATAATGTAAAACAATAATATTAATTCAATTTCAACTATAGCTTCATACCACAATTCATTGACCAATACAACACTTTTTTTCTAAATTTAAACCATTCTGTAAAATTTAGAATCTTTTGCAATGTGTGATCCATTATAAAACTAGTTCAACTAAAATACTGACTAAAATTTAATCAACTTGCATACTGTTGACTACGCGAGCTCTTCTAAGTTATATTTTGAGAATAGTATGTTACGTGCATTGAATGGTATATTTGTACAAATATAGGTAGCTACATCTTATCATAAAGAGAAAACTCCTCATATAATACATAATTCTAAGGTCAGTTTGAAATCGTAATGATATTTATTTTTAAATAATTACTGGATTATTTGAAATTTAAAATATAAACTGTAGTTTTAGTTTGAAAGAATAGATCGTCTCAAAATGATAGAAAGAACTCATACCTGAGCAAGCATCAATATTACAATAGCAAATGCAAGATATATCCTTGCTACAACTTTTTCCCAAGTTTTCTGATAAGGCCATAGTGATACTAGACGTAACATTTTTTTGTTCAAACTAAAATACTTATTTCGAAATACTTCGTCTGGATCTATCTTCTTTTGTTCCATTACTCATATACTGCGTACTTGAGTTTCTTTACAACCTGGCTTTTTGCACTAAATTATTGTCTTTACTGACAATCATTTATTCAAGACTAAAATTTTCACATTGCCACAGAAATTATTTATTTATAAGGAAGAAATCGATTCTTACATTAAGGTGAACGTACAACGTACATTAAGACCACTTTATGACGAAATTGAATTGTTTAATGGATAAATGAATACATAAAGTATTCAAAATACAAATTAAAAACATTGATATTTATACAATCGTATAGATAATTTTTATAACAATTTTAGTTTTCATGTAGAAAGTTAGATTTATCATTTGCAAAACAAATGCGCGGTGTAATATATTATAATCTTCAATCAAAATATTCAAAAATGGCTCAATTCATGAAGAATCATAGCTAATAAAAGCAAATCAATATATGGGTAATTCTAGGCTATTTCGATTGACTTGTAACCCTTAGGTTACGGATTTTTTTTTAATTTGGCACAATTGTTGTACACATAAAACTGAGATTTTTCCTAAATTTTGGAGACGATACATTAATTATATCAAAAGTTATTAACAATTAAAGAAAAATGATAAAAAATTTTCAAACAGCTATATTTTAAAAACTAATAAAGATATCGAAGTCGGATTTTTTTTCAAAATACTTATAATGCCTTAAAATTTCGAAATAATTACAACAATAAACAATAAAAATTTTTTTTCGAAAGTTATTAACTTTTTGTTTAAACAATTGCTAATATCTCAAAAAGTATATTTTTTTTTTGAAAAATTCTTGCTCCTACGTATTCCTGAGGATTTTTGCTATCGAAATCAATCATAAAATTCAAAGGCCCGACATATCGGAAAGCGTAGCCCTAATCAAAAGAAGACGCCTCGGCGTAAGGCTGCGGTAGCGCTCCAGCGGACTCACGGTCGAAAGGTACTTTAGCTTTAATCTAAAAAACTAATAAAGATACCGAATCGGAGTTTTCCCAAATTACTTATAATACCTTGAACTTTCAAAATAATTACAACAATAAACAATAAAAATTTTTTTTCGACAGTTATTAACTTTTTGTTTAAACAATTGCTAATATCTCAAAAAGTATATTTTTTTTTTGAAGAAAGAAGATGCTTCGGTGTCCGGTCGCTGAGGCGTCTTCTTTTAATTAGGGCTACGCTTTCCGATATGTCGGGCCCTTGAATTTTATGATTGATTTCGATAGCAAAAATCCTCAGGAATACGTAGGAGCAAGAATTTTTCAAAAAAAAAATATACTTTTTGAGATATTAGCAATTGTTTAAACAAAAAGTTAATAACTTTCGAAAAAAAATTTTTATTGTTTATTATTGTAATTATTTCGAAAGTTCAAGGTATTATAAGTAATTTGGAAAAAATCCGATTCGGTATCTTTATTAGTTTTTTAGATTAAAGCTAAAGTACCTTTCGACCGTGAGTCCGCTGGAGCGCTACCGCAGCCTTACGCCGAGGCGTCTTCTTTTGATTAGGGCTACGCTTTCCGATATGTCGGGCCCTTGAATTTTATGATTGATTTCGATAGCAAAAATCCTCAGGAATACGTAGGAGCAAGAATTTTTCAAAAAAAAAATATACTTTTTGAGATATTAGCAATTGTTTAAACAAAAAGTTAATAACTTTCGAAAAAAAATTTTTATTGTTTATTGTTGTAATTATTTCGAAATTTTAAGGCATTATAAGTATTTTGAAAAAAATCCGACTTCGATATCTTTATTAGTTTTTAAAATATAGCTGTTTGAAAATTTTTTATCATTTTTCTTTAATTGTTAATAACTTTTGATATAATTAATGTATCGTCTCCAAAATTTGGAAAAAATCTCAGTTTTATGTGTACAACAATTGTGCCAAATTAAAAAAAAATCCGTAACCTAAGGGTTACAAGTCAATCGAAATAGCCTAGAATTACCCATATATACCAAGTTCACACTTCGAAAAGATACCTTTCTACCTATTAAACTTAACGATAAACACATTCCGCAAAATAACCATGTAAAATGTTTAAGTATACACCTAGATCGGAGGTTTTCATGGGAAGAAGGTATATTTACAAAACGCAAACAGTTAGGACTGAAATGGAGGAAAATTTATTGGCTTCTTGGAGCAAAATCGGAGTTGTCAATTGAAAATAAATGACTGCTACACAAAGCTATACTCGAACTAGTTTGGATTTAAAACATTCAACTACGGCGTGCTGCGATTCGAATATTGAAATCTTATGAGAAGATGTCAATCAGAAATCTTACATAATATCGTACGGGTCTTATGGTTCGCTCCAAACGAAATTATTTACAATGATCTATAAGTTTCAATAGTTAAAGAAAACATTAAAAAGTACTATACAAAATATAGCACCAAACTTTAGAAACACTCAAATAAACTTATCAGCAAACTATTGATTACGAGTGCGTTCGTAACTTATGGTTAGAGAAGAAAGAGGAAGAAAAATCTAATTTAACTAAATAGGGGAATGTGTGGTTCACAATCAAAGAACGTCTTTAGAATTGAATTTGTTTTTATTACAGAAAGCGTGATACCTGTCCAGCATAAAAAAAAACCCAGTTACATGTGAGGGAAAAAGCCATTCAGATGCGCGTACAAAACAGATTGCTTACTTCCTCTAAGACGGTTAATTATACGTGGCTCACTCGCAATGATGACGCCGCTTACACTCACTGTGCGAAAGGAGGAAGATGTCTCCTAGGGCCACGTAGCACCAACGTCTTGGACGAGAGCACAGCCCTTACTCCGTTGCCCTCATAGACGAGGTGAGCCGGTCTGTCCAAGGTGACAGCGTTGCTCAAGAAACAGAGACACCTCAGAGGATATCGCACCTATTCTCAGCTAGGCCCGTATCGCCGAATAGCTCTCGCGTCATTGATATGGTGTTGCATTAAGTGGTGATCACATCGTCAAACATTCACTCACACTCACAAGTAAACTCTTGACCTTAACACAATTATACTGTTTATCGCGATGAACAGAGTTCAGAAAAAGCTCGGGTGTCGCAGCGCGAACGCAACAACTTAGAACTCAGACATGAGTAGTCGTTAAGGACAGACTCACTCGTACAAATTTTCAGCAAGAAAAGACGAAGGAAACACCCTCAGTTAGTTAGGCCCCGAGGGAGGGGAGCCAATCAGAGCAGCTAGAAAGGGATGCGGCTCTTGAAAGATAGCTGGCTACCTCAATACGGTCTAATTAGCGCGCCGTCCCTCTCCCTGGTATTACGTGCGCCTGAGCAGAGGGAAAGTTTCGGGTTTCCCCGTACGTGCCAAAGGATGAGAGTCGAGAGAGTCTCAACTGGGCGTAATTTTTCAACCCAGGGCTGATGCACACGCGAGGCGCACATGCTGCGAACACAAATTTCAATTAGCCTTCCCTGCATTTAAAAATTACCAGTTAAAGATATCGCTTGAGTAAAGCCCTTGTGTCTTTTAATTAATCTATTGACATTTTTATCATCTTCGAGTAAATCTTCCTTATTTTGAATCATGAAGATGGCGTAATGCTATATAATATATATGTTATTGATTCGCAAATAAGTAAGCAGATACAAACATATGTATACGTCGAAAATAACTATTTGAAAAATGAATTTTTTGTGACGTTTAGATAAAGGTATAACTATAAATGTTAAAAGAGAAAACATCATTTTATTTATTCAAACTGTATTTTAGCACAAACAATGTATCACATACACGTTGGAGACGCGGTCGAAAGCAGTCGTGTACTTGACGACGATCACTGCAAACCGTTCCTCGTCGCGCGCGTGTTTTTGCGTGTAGTGTGGTGTATGATTCAAATTCCGCAGTCTATTTCCTCGCTTTTGTGAACAAGTGACAAGTGTCTGGTTTTTTTCTCTCCTCTTCTACTGTAATGGTGGCGCTCTTACTCGCAAGCTACGGTTGGAGTTTGCATAGCGGCAGCTACCTCCCCTCACAGAATACCACAAGCTACGCCAATGTTACTACTCAATCGACATTACCCAAGAAATACTATGCCATTGTTATCGATTTCATCGCAGGTTCTATCATTGATGACTACATCAACGGTCTTCAAAGTTTCATCACTCCTAGCAAGATTTAATTTATTTCTAAAATATCAGGCAATAGAGTAAAAAAACGTAAAACACTATATCCTCGCCTAGTATGGATGGCATAGATTTTGATAGCATTCGGAAACTACCCTTAAAATATAACCTGGTACTTCTTAATATTTTTAATGAAATGTAATCGACTAACTTCTACCCTACAAGCTGGAAAACGTCATATGTTTACATTATAAACAAACCCGACGATAATAACGTCCGCCCTATCTCTCTGACTTTTTGCATGTGCAAGTTCTTCGAAACCTAGATAAAAAACCAAATGCAGTGTTAGAATACTTCAACCTCCTCCCCGATAGTCAAACTAGCTTCCTTAAAGGACAATCTATGAATGACAACCTTACAAACTTTCTTGTCTTTACTGAAGAGGCTTTTACTAACAAAAGCAATGTTCTCGCTGCTTTTCTCGATGTCAGAGGTGCATTTGACAAAGTTTTCGTTGACCTCCTGCTTAAAAAGTTAACATCCCTCGCCTGTCCTATAAACTTGGTATATTTTATTCATTTCTTGCTAACCGAAAGAACAATCCACGCTGACTGTTCACGCCACATATACTCCATATGTAAGTGATTACGATCACGCTTTCACCGATAAAACGATTATCCTTTTTTTCTTCTACACAACCCATAAACTGTTACCACGTAGGCCCAGGACCGCCGTCGGAGCGGGGGAGCGGGGAATGAGAGAAAGGATGTAGCAGCAGACGAGCACGTGTTTATGAGAGGAAACTATTAATCATGCACAAAAGCTTCGTTCTTATGTCGACTATGCCTGCTTCATTTACTTCCTCACTCAATCAAAAGAAATAGATAAACTTTAACGTATTCAATTTTTAGGTATCAGAGATCGCTTGATACAAAAAGAAACTGCTAAATCAAAACCACCGTCTTTTCAACAACCGTCGCATAATATCGTTCTATACTAAAAACCTCTCCGAAACTAAGAACACTAAATCTACTAACTTCAACTATAAAATGTACACGTTTCATTATGAAACGATTTTTCACAACCTTAAGGTAGACATAGACAGTGGTCGATAAGTAAAAAATTCTACCAGCTCGGATATTGATGTCAACAAACTCATTGCAAAGCATAATTCCGTTTCCATAAATACGAATGGTAAGAAAATAATTCTTGCTCCCTCCGTGGGCAGTGCCTGCTACTGTCCATCTTTTAATCTAAGCTCCACTACGAGTCTTCACAACGCAACCTCCATTTTCACTGCCGAATATGTCACCATCATGCTAGCTCATAATTACGCATAATTTTTTCTGACTCGCTAAGTGCCTTGTTAGCCCTTAAAAACTCTATAATGTCAGTTCGCACTAATCCCTACATCTATGAAATAAAAGGCAAAGCTTATGATTTTAGTTTGATAAGCTCAAATAGCTTATGATTCTTTTGGATTCCCTCCTATTCCGGTATTCCAGGAAATGAAAAAGCCAATGAAATTGTAGAATCGGCCTCTCAATTAGAGTCCAAACCCATCTTCAACATTCCTTATTCCGATTTCCATGAAATTCACAAACTCCAATCCATCTCTGACACCATTCTAACATTGATTACTCAAGCAGTAATAAAAGATTAAACGTATTTTCAAACTTAATTCAATTCCTCTCTCAAACTCTGGTTGACTAGTCTAATCTTCCGAGAGAAATAATTACCATTATAAATAGGTGCCGATCGGGTCACTGCAATCTTAATACATCCCTTGCCACAATGAATTTTGCTTCGTCGAACTGCAACGGTAACTGCATCAGAAGACCTCGACCACGTACTGTGGCAATGCCCTTTACATGACTCTCCACGTGCTATCTTTATAAAAAATCTACGCCTCCTTAAGTTTTATTTATCTCTTTCTTCATTTATACTACTTGCTCATCCTACTGTTGAAATTTGTAAAGCGAATTATTTTTTTAATCAGAATGTAAACTTTCTCTGTAAACACGCTGAATCACTCGCTTAATGTAACCACTCTATATAAAACACAATAATCTTGTAAGATTAAAATTGCTCTAATAAATAAAAAAAAATATATCACATAAAAGCATATTCTCAAAATTCACACAGAAATATGTATGCATGTGTGCGCGTATGTGTGTGTATTGAGTGAGCATGTTCTAATGTGTTGGGCAACGCGAGGCAAAAAAATTTTTTTAATAGTTAGTGCTCATCATAAAAAGCTCACGCTCAATCTTCCAGTTTTTTCATAACTGTCGTACTTATTTATTATTCACATAAGTTTACTAATGCTACAATATGTGTGTGTGTGTGTATTATTTAATCGAATTCGGCATGATACTAAAGTAAAACGCTGATTTATTTATTAACCATTTTTGACAATTATTAGGCTACGATAAGGGGGGATGTAGAAAAGATCTGACCATCGAGTCCAAGTAAAACAGGCTGGTGGAGTCGAAGTGACTGACGAGCTGCAATGGCCTGCTGCTGAGCGATTCTGGCAGCATGAAGTTCAGGCGATTCAATTATCTGAGCGCTAGAAATGCTCGAGGTACCTCTTGGATTAATACTGGCGAGTGATTGCGCTTGACGGGTGGCCATTAATATGGAGTTTGGTCCGGAGTCTACTTGCTGCTGAGCCTGAGCTCGAGCTTCAATCTGCAATTAATTTTTTTTATCTCCATTACTACCTTTAATTAAAATAATTTTTATTCCAAAGGAATAATTGATTCCTTTGAAAATAAATTCAATTTAATTGTTAAATGCAGATATGCAAGAATTAATTAGCTAATTTACGCACAGTAATCTTTTTACAACTTATTCGAATAACTATGTTAAAAAGATAAGATATAGATTTTTTTATTTGAAGTTTAGTTAAAAAATATTGGCTGTTTTCTTACAAATATAGCTTATTGCAGTGATTTTACCACAATTTCAATAGTATTATCAAATATTTTAGAGAGAACGATACAAATTCCATTCAAAATAATTAGTTGTATTTACCTTAAAACTTTACAACATAAAATACCATAGACGGGATAATGGTCAAGAAGAAGATAGAAGATGATAATGATAAAGATGAATAATGTCGTAACTAAAATCTTACCGTTTCAGCATCATGGTTTGCCAACCTTATACGCTCGTTTTTATGGGCAGCAGCGTGTTCAGCTTTAGCTAAGCTAACTTCAATTGTATCAACAACTTGGCCGTCAGGGCCCAAAGGAGCTGCGGCTGGAGCCGAAATAATTTGCGTGATACCCGTAGCGTTTTTTGAATTTGTTTGAATACGTTGACTAATTGCATCGTGTCCTGAATTGAGTATGCGAACCTGGACAGTGTACACAAAATGTTGTTTCCTCGTTCTGATAAGTGTCCAATGATGAGTCGATGACAATGGATAATCTTTTACGTGCTTGTAGTTAGTGAGATGATTGTAGATAGAGATTATATAAAACATTTTCAATATTTAATAAATTCGTATAGTTCTCTCTCTCTCTTTTTAAATATTCTTATAATTTCTTCCGCTTTTGTGTGTACTACATTGATTGCACGTTAAAACTAATTTAGCTGTACAATAAATCCATTTATTCAGAGGTAGTTTACCATAAAGGATTTGTTTGACGATATTCCATTAAACTATTTTTGTCTAATTGACACCTTGACCTATTGAGCTTTCAATCGCTTGCTCGTAAATACTACATTATAAACGCTCACGATAATTCAGTGTAATCATTTATTCAACGACACCACTGACATAAGTTCCTTCACATGGAAGACTATAAGTTGAGAATAAATAATAAACGCGCTAACCTCGAGCGTATCCAAGATTCGAGAATTTGGACCTAAAGGTAAACCTGGAATTATCTGGACAATATTGTGAGGTGATGACGAGGTGCTAGCCGAAACTCCTGCTGAAGCTTGAATAGTTTGTGGTGTCAATCGAATGAGGTTCGGACGGGCCATGGTTACTGTCACAAGGCTGAACAATACAACCTTTGAAAATTAACGAAAGTTCTTTTATGAACATTTTAATAATATTGAAAGTAATCGTACAAAATTTGCATTTCGATTCGGAATTAAATTACGTTTTTAAATTAAATTAAATTAATGAAAATTCAGAAATGAAAATATCAATGCTGTCTATAAAATTCAGTTTTGCTATGAAACAAAAGAAATCAAACTTTCATTTCACAGTTTGTAATGTTAATGAATTAAATTTATTAATTGAAAAAATACTAATCGAAGAAAGAGTCTATCATAATATTGCTTTTATTAATAATTTCGCACGAATATTATCAATCCGACGTTTTCACATGTTTTGAAAGATTTCAATGTATAGACGTTAGTTTTTTTTTATTTTCTATTATTTACATAGCATGTTTTTATGATACCATTTGATATAAAGTATGTAAATTCAAGTTGGACTTTGACGTATAATTGTTTGACTTATTGTGTATAATAAGACTGTACAAATATCATCAATCAATGTCACTTACAGAAATCTTCATAACGATACGTTAATCTCCAAATGGTAAGAAGCAACAACAGCGACGTAGTAATGGCTACAACTAAGGCCGATAGTTCTATGCGGCCATTTAAATACATTTCTCGATGCTACGAAAATAAAAAAATTACGACAGATACACCAGGAAACGGATCAGCTGTTCTAGGCGATAACATATAAAACGTGACACTTGACATTGACCAGCGCAATTTTTACAGTAAAGTAATCCATATGTTGAGATTATACCGTACACGTATGTCGTACGTAGTTTGTTTAAGCCTCTTTACGGTTACGAAATCTTAGATTGCCAGATCGTTTTACCTATAACCGCTCACATTCCATTTCGCGCTTGATGATGCAGGTGGATACTATGGTGCAGAAATAATATAACCCGCAAGTCAAAAAAGATGATGCAGTTAATATTTTAAACTGAATTGCATGAAGCCTAACGATTTTGGCAAATAGATCATAGCAAAGGCAATGTTTATAGTAAAAGTGAAAATCAATAGTCTCGTTGGTCAAAATCATATTTAAAAATACAAATCATGAGAGCTCATCATATAATGCAGATTGTGCAAATTGTATACGTGACGAAATCAAAATTTGAGATAGAATGATGAAAAATGATAGGCTTATTTGTTTTAAACAAACTTTAGGACAGTGTATCGAAGAAAGCTGGTATTCAAAACGGAAAAATAATCCTGGGGAGGAAAAAGAACGATTGGTTGAATTAGCATCTCATATAATACTCCAAAACATTCGATCGATGAAATGTAGTGTTGATAATTATAACTCGTCCTCTGATTTTTTATCTGACGTAACGTCTGAAATTCAAAAGACACTGAAAAACTTTCTCGATATCCTAGTAAAAACCCATAAACGGGTTCCAAGTAATGGCTGTTGGAAAAAATGGGACAATAAAATTGTTACTTTTGCCCACATTCTTATGTCTTCAATGAGGCCTCGGTCATTTAATTCGTCCATTTTGTTAGGGCTCTTATGTATGATGCATACTAAATTTGCGGCTCGCGGTCTTATCGATTGTCTGTATAACATCGGCCTTTGTGCCTCATACTCCGAAACTGTTAGATATGAAAACTCAGTGGTACATGATTCTGACAAATTTGAGATCATTTCCGATACTTACTTACAGTTTATCTATGACATTGCTGATCATAATACTTCAACTATTATGTGTGTCATGCCATCGTCTTCGACAGAGCTGACCAAAAAAATTCCTCGATTAAAAGTTGTGCTATCAAGTTCAAGCTCAAACTCTCCATCAGGTTTCATAATGTCACGATAAAAGATTGGACCGGCATTAATCCTGCTGAATTTTCTATCAAAATCGCGCCGATTGATTTATTATATTTTTTTATGACCGAGATTACTGTACGACGAAAGTTGTGGCATTGCCGTTCATAAAAGCACTACCAAGTAATGATTCGACCATTATGACAGCGTTAGTTCTTCGCTTAGGTGGTTTTCATCTTGGTATGTCTAATCGGTGGGATTAATAATATCATGGCAAGTAGCGGTTCGAAGGAAGAATTTTATATAATTAACGTAGAATTATCGGCTGATAAAGCTCTGGGTGACCATGCTTTTTCTCACTCAGTTAGGGGTCACACATTAGTGAAAGCTGCTTTTGATACATTAATTTTCGAAAAAATGAAACTAACTGATGATGATAAACAACAATTGAATGATGGTTTGAAAAAAGTCGGAGAAGAGAATTTTAAAACATACTGGTCGGGAAAATTTATGAAAAATATATAAAATAAATTTGAATAGACTATTGAAAAATTATCTAAAAACAGCTCAACTGCGGCTGCAATATTTCAAATTAATAGTGCTACTTGTTCAATTTATTGATGCAAAAAGATCCGTTAATTTCGAGTAACACGTACAATGCGTCATTTTAATGATTCCTTTTTTTTCGCGTCTGGTCACCATTTATATGTAAAAGCTTATCTCTTATACGTTAAAAAAAATCTTGAATTTGAAAAAAATGATGGATATTGTAGAATATGACAAATTTTGCAAGCAGGGTTACTTCACAATACGGCGTTCTAATTATTTTTGGTGTGGTGTTTGGTCCGACATGATCATTGAGCAGGCGTTGATGCGTACTATGAAATGTAACGAGGTTTAACGCATGGCCGTGGTTTAACTGATAATGTCATCGCAAACTAGATTCTACCTAGAGCAGCTGTTCTCGAAGTTGGTAACGCGATGAAAATTTACTGTAACGTGACATTTGCCTCTTCAGAGCAACATGTTGATAATCGTATGCCGCGTGTGTCTAAAGATGCAGACGATTTTGCAAAAATACAGCAATTTTTTGCGACACACGATCCATTTCTCGAATCAGATTAATTAATCGGTATTTTTTCTGAGGTTGTCGGCGATGCGAGCGTAAATGCCATAAAGCGTATGAAATTGGCAAAGCTATAATGGAAGATACATCAAATAAAAGTTTACTGATATTAAATTCAAAAGTAACGGTAAAGCTGTTCATTTAGCCGTCGCGAATTCAACAATAAAAAATGCTGCAGATGAGGAAATATATATATCGCTACTACTTGTCTTTGAAAAAATTTCTTTGAATATTGCAAGCAATAACGATATTAAAGAATATAGTATTGCGTATGAGCTATCGTCTATACCACTCTCTCTGTTCGACGAAAATGTCTTGCGTAAAACGAGTAAAGCAGCGTTCTACGCTAACTTTGCTTGTACGAATGACATTATGACAACAGCGAATACCACGGATATTGTAGACGATGGATTTTTACTCCATAAAGTTGTATGGAAAAGTAACACAATTGTAGGTACTATCGTACGCACCTATGTTTCTTACGTAACAAAGCATTATTCTAAGAACAGTTGTATCGTTTTCGATGGTCATTCTGGAGACGATAGTTTTTCAACTAAATCGCTTGAGCGTTCGCGTCGTCAATCGAAAAATATCGGTCGTGAAATATTTTTGACGATAACATTACTATAACCACGATTTAAAAGTATTTTATAAGTAATGAAAAAATAAGTTTCGTTTAATTGCAACGGTTTGTATTAACACAAGCGGATTTCGGACGAAAATTGCCGAAGAAGACGCCGATCGATTAATTATTGTTACTGCGATTGAAAATGCTCGTATAGACTGTAACAAAATGATAATTATTGTAGGCAAAGACACCGACTATTATTAGTTATATTTTCCCAGCTGTCGTGCGAATTACAGAATCTAGGTAATGTTTATTTCCGTAAAGAAGGCAAAGGCTCCAATCCTCACGAGTTTATACTAGCAATAGTTTCAAGTACCCAGAATTGCAAAAAATTGTGGCATTTATACGCGCTTTCTATGGGTGTGACACCACATCTTATGTTTTTACAAAATGGATAAAAATAAACTTGTTAATGTATTTACATCGGACCAATTGTTAGAATTAGCTGCTATATTTTATAATGTCGATGCTGCGGGCGATGAAATTGCATCTAGCGCATTCAAACTAATACTGGGAATGTACAGCAATAAGGCAGAAAAAAAATTAATTGAAAAAATCGAACGACTTTACTCTTAGCGATTTGCGCTATTTACACTTCAGCAAAGCTAAGCTAAAATCAATGTTTGCTTTAGAATCGCTACCGCCAACAGAAGATGCAGCGAAACAACATGCTTTCCGCGTGTACAACCTTTTGGGCTGCGAGGACCTTTTTCACAACAAAACTTGTAAGAAGAGGAATTTCTTTGCGGGCTATTTGAAAACTAATCTCTTATAATAGCGTAGTTTTTTCCGAATATACATAATAATGCATGGAAAGTAAAAAAAAAAAAAAATTAGAGGTAATATCACATTCTTATTGAATTTTTAAATCAACATCAATATATGTTTGATCCGGTTAAATTTTGGCTGAAGCGAACAAGAAAAATAAGTATTGGAAGATCAAATGTTATTCGACACAAAGAAAATGACGCAACCATTTTGAAGCATTGTAACAGTACAAGGATCTCATGAGCAGAGTTGAAAGTAAAGTTGTTTGAAAAAAAAATGGTTAACCGATCGGCGGGCGATCCGTGCACGGAGCGCGAAGCCTCGTCAAGGTCGATCTCGAACGGAAAATATGGGCAGGCGTTGTGGTCCCGTTGTAAGATATACATCACGTGGTCACGAAAAAGCGCGCGCCGACATGAAAATTCATCAATTTTTCCTGGTTAAACGTAACGCACGATCACGTGCGCTCTCGCGACGCCCTACACGACAGTTACGAGAGAGTTCACCTTGGTCCCGTTGCTGTCGCGCGTCAACGCCAGCAGCGCGTAGCTGCTCATACGAAGAAACTCGAAGCGGATGTAGGTGGGCACAAACGCGCTTAATTCATCCCTTCTCTCGGACACACTGCCGTCGATTTACTTTCGAAAAAAAGTTTCGCCCTGCCGACGCGCTATTTTCGACGCGTGCGAGCGCGTCCCGAGTATAAAATGCTTGGGTCCAGCCACGCGTACCACCAGACGAAGATCAGTGCCTCGAAGTGAATCAAGTGACACACAATGAAAACCTTAGTCGTTTTGTTCTGCGTCGTGGCTGTGGCTTTTGCCAAGCCCGGCTTCCTCGTTACCCCTTTGGCTTACTCTGCTATATTCCCTGGTGCACCGGTAATCCATTGTTTGGCTAATTTTTTTAGCGCGGATTGTTGTTTTTACGATAATTATTTATTATCGGATACGCTTTACAAAAATATAGCAGTACATTTCATTACACGTAGCGTTAGATAAGTAATATTCAACAAACTACTCTTTAAAATTTTCAATCAACATAGATATATGTATTTTTTTACTGCTTATAATTCATAATTGACCAAACAAACATTAGAATTGTATTAGAAAAAATATACCATTTGGCATTTATGTATGAGTTTTGAAACTCATGCATAACAAAGGAACATTTATTGAACTAATATGATTTCTAGTTAGGAACTGACGGCCGTGTGGTTGACACTCCCGAGGTAAGTTTGGCTAAAGCCGAGCATGCCGCCGCCCACGTGAACGAGCGCCTCAACCGGAACCAGGAACTGCTCCGCTCAGCCAACTTCATTGCCCCAGCTGTTCTTCCTGCCGCTGCAGTTCCAGCTGCTATTCCTCTTGCTGCTGCCCCCGCTGCGCTCCGCATTGCTACTCCTCTCACTTACAACAGCATCCTTGCCGCCGATGGCCGTCCTCTTGACACCGCAGAGGTCGCCCTCGCTAAGGCCTCTCACGCCGCCGCTCATCTCAACGAGAGGATCATCCATGCCAACGAATTTTCTAGGAATCTCGAGTACGCCTATGACAGATACTACTGAGCGTCAGATACTACCGGAAAATTTCTACGAGATTCTTCGATCGATATACAATGACCGAAAGATTACGATTTAATTTTGTGTCTGAATATGACTGCTTATAAGATCAGACAGCTAAAACTACGTATTAAAATAAAAATTTAAATAACTATGAATTTCATCAAGGCAGTTTGTATCCTTCATTACCTTATTATAGTTTCTAACAATTGGAATATGATAAACTTTCTCTATAACATAATTACCATCGTTGTTTCGAATTTTTGAAATAAAACTAGAGATGAAAATTATTTCTAATATATGAATATTTATAATAATGAAATTCTTAATCGAGGTAGAATGTATTAAAATCCTTCAAAATTCCACTGAAGACTACAAAGAAAAATATGCAGAAACTGGGCTAAGAAACGTTAATAAAATAACGTTCATTTTATTTTTTCATCTTGTTAGCGATTACCACATTCTGATAAAAAATATACTTTACGTAATTCATTTTTAAATAATTTATTTAAAAGCTAAAAGTTGCCCTAATTAACTAATTTTTATAATTGCGATATCATAATGCTATTTTGAATATTATAGTTATATATTTCATTGTGAATTAGAAAAAACTTCGAAAGTATTAATTGTGATACAACATACTTTTAAAATATTTTGTAGATGCACCGTAAAGCTTCGATATCGCCCAACTGGATAAATCAATTTTTATTTACTTCATTTGAATATTTTATATTTATTTTGTAATTATTTCGTTACGGCTATTGTATTTTCTATTTTATATCTACAAACGTTTATCTTTAAATTATTTTTAAAAAGAGTTAAATGATAAATGTTTTTAAAGTGTATACACAATCAATTCACATTAAAGAATATTGAAAGAAAAAATAAAATTAAAAAATTATACGTGAAAATATGACATCTTTAACTATTCTTATTTCTTTAAGGATGTATCTCACATTTTTATCAAAAACAAGAGTATTTTTAGATCGAATGTTACATTTGTAAAAAGATTTTTCGGTTGCCTAGTAATAATAAAGTAGTATCAGGTAATAATCATTGGGACAAATTATTGTAAAAAAATTTCTTACGTGTTGCGTCTGCGCTTTACTGTATACCCCATAAAGAGGAGATGCTGCACCCTCAGCAGACGACACAGAACCGCATTGACTGTCTAAAAGTAAAGTGCCTCATGTATACGCGATGCGCTGTTTTATCGCTTGAGCCGACAGGCGAGAGGTATTTTATTCTCAGACTGTCCTTGCGTTTCTGTACTCCATGTTAGGAGGGGTCACAATCACCACTTTACGCGCAGTATGGGGAAAAAGAAATAGTTATCGGTGTTTTAATTACTTATTTCTAATTCACATTATGAAAATAATTATAAATACAGTAATATAAAACATCAAGGTTAATAGTAATTTATTAGTGATATCCGTATATTACAGTAGTAATGAATATGATTGAAAAGAAATTGGTAATAATGCAGTGTATACGTACTATACTATACTACGTAAGTACGCGGTTCAGAACACGCATTAGAAAAAAATGGCATCTGACGTGTGAATAATGTATTGTGAAAATTATCATCTTTCTGGCATTAAAAAGTCTTGTCTTGCTCAGTTCCACGAGCATGTAACAACAGTCACAGCTTCGTTCTATAATAATACGCGGTATACTAAATTAAAATACTCTAATTGCCGATGAGAGTCGTAAACAGACGAAATGAGCGACAAAATAACACAAAAACAAAACGGAATTTGGTTGGCCTCGAAAGACAGGGTATTCAACAGGCGTGCAACAGTTCTCCTCTTCGGTAGAAATATCAAACGCAAAGGGAGAAATTCGAGTTATATACAGTCCGGTTAGCGAGTCGCCCTTGACGGCCTTGAGCGTCTATAAAGATTGCAAGCTTGCCATATCTACTGTCATCAGCCGCAGAACATGAATGCATTGCTTGTAGCGAGTAACCTGTTCCTTGTCCGCGCGTGCTTTCCAGTCGTCATGCTCATATGGTAAGCACATGTAGAAGACCGCTTCAAGGTGTAATATTCAAGAGCACTCTCTCTTTCCTTCTGTCTTTCTTGAGAAGGGTGGCGTATATAAGGTGACCGGTAAGACCGCTCATTCTGATACTCGAGTCCATCGATTTTGTCTCAGAACCACTCTCATCATGATGAGATTCATTGCCATCGTAAGTACCCCCGATTAGCTGAATGTCGTTGGATATTTCTTCCAATTTTATTCTGTATGTGCTATTTTTTCTAGTGAAATCAGTGATTATTGTGCATCGTTGTATTCAAGTGAAATATTAAAAAAAAATCAATGTGTTTGACCAAATCGTGGAAGAAATATATATTAAAATTTCAGCGGCATACCAAGTATATAAAACAGTTTCAAATTATGTATAATAGTACCTAGTCGGAACGAGTTAGCTTATCTAACGTCATTAAAAATTTTCGTTACATCAGAACTATAACTTTTTGAATAAAAAATCCACTTACGGTTATTGCTTGAATAATTTACTAGCGAATTAATCAATTACGTAATAAACAGTCTGGGATTATTCAATTTACGTATGGATAAGGCTTATTGAAAACAAATTATTTTCGTATACCACTTGGATCCTTTCGAGCATAATGTTCTATTTCACAAAAATATATCGGCCAACGTTTCGAGAATTTAATTTATCCTCATTTTAAAGGCTGCACAACATACAATATTCAAAACTAAATTTTCAACAGACAGCTTAAAAACAAGCTACGACAAATTTAATCCGTGACTCTCATCATTAATTAATGTGAAATTGTTTACAAAAGAAATGTCAGCAGTTGATTCAATAACGTTTAAGTAAAACACTATTAATGAATAGTTAATAATTGCAAATCTAAACAAAAAATATTAAATTGAATACAAAAAAAGTAAAATAATAAGACGAAAAGTGATCAAAGCTTACGAATTATAACAGGTTAGTAACGTCATGATGAAAATAAAATTCGAAATAAGTCAAAAATAAATAAAATTTATCTAGATAGTACTCGTTGTTGCGACAAGCATTGAAATTTATAGACAGGATAGGATTTATACAGGACATATAGGATTTATACAGAAACTCAGGAATGATGCTAAGTGACAGAGACAAAGATAAAACAGTGGAGAGAGAGAGTAAACAAGGATTGTTGTTTCAGGATAGACAAAGCGAATGAAATGAGTGTATATACAAATTAGGTATTTAATTTTGAATTTCTATACACTCTTTCGAGCACGCAAATTATATTTATAAGATACTTTTGGAAAAGACAAACTAAGGCTCATAAATTATTGCACAATCCCAATTTATTTCAGCAATTCTCCGTTGTGTAACATGCCCTTTTCCAATAATGTAGTATTCATTATTTTATTAAATTTGTGATTTTTTTTAATGTTCACTTTTATTGTTCGCGATCTTTTATTATGCTGCTGAATTTTTGGAATATTTTAGAAGATATATCTGTGACTTTTTAAAGTGATATTTTTCATTACTCTTGGCATAATGATTATATATCTGGATATGCTTTTGTATATATTATATTTCGTGAGTGAGTTGTTATAGTTTTCCAATATCACTTCCAGTATGAAGAACTGCTTGACAGATAGTGGTAGATATGAGCTCTTTGATATTCTGAGTAAAATTTTTATCAATCTGTTTTGAATTGTTTTGAATACAGTTCAATGTACAACCGTATGCACCTCCTTCAGCAATAATACAATATGTTGCAATGTTGTAAAACAGCGCATAGTAGATTGTCGTTAGAGCCTTCATGTCCATAAATTTTGCAAATTTTTCCTTTACAAAAGCAATATATTTGATTTTTCTAAAATATATTCTACATGATGTTTCCATTTGAGTCTGTAGTCCATCTAACCTATCACTAAATATTTACTGAATGTATTCTATTTAGTGGCTTATTCATAGTATGAATATTTAAATCAGAAGGGATACTATCATATGAGTCAAAAAGTTTTGTATATTGTCTTTTGTGTATTTAGCGATAAACTGTTTAAAGCTATGCATTGATTTACGACGCTTACGTAACCATTTAAATTCCGCACATGATCAATTACTTTCCTTATTTAATATTACCATATTATCTGCATAAGACGATATAGTATTGTCCAACAATAAAAGAAGAATATTTGACAAATTATTTTTTATCCCCCAAATAGCTTATAAACAGATCATTGACTAAATCTTTTATCTTATTGATTGTATACTCTTTTTTTATTTTTTATTTAATTTCCTATTGATATATTTCTAAATATTTTTGCTATATTATCCATATCCGTTGAAATGAGCCAATTGATCTTTGATTTTAGCATCTTTTATGACTTTTTAAAAACTTTTTTAGTGTGCTTTATATGCCGGTTTTATTTTCATATTTATGAGTGCTCTACGTTACAATCCATAAAGGATCTCTTTATTTTGACACGATATAATGATTTATAATGTGATCCTAGATTTCATAGTTCTGTTAGTTTTTCCTTGTTTTGTCTTATGCAAGATGCCTGCACAACAATAATTTTAATTGTACTTATCAAAGTATTACACGCGATTTCTGACTAATCTGTAGTTGCAGTAGGATTTTAGTTTATTTTTTTCGCAAATATTTTCAGTTTTTCATAGTTAAGAAATTTCTTTTCTTTACTTCAAATTGTTATTGAGAGTGAGGAGTAATGGATAGTGATCAATGAAAGAATCTAAATAAATAGGCAATGAGGTCTGTTTTCGCGAATACGTTATCCACACGCTGAATGCCTGCTAAGTAGGGGAATTTCTGCTTTCATTACAGTAAAATTAACCTTCTAGATACCAATTATTGATAAATTTTGCCTTCCTATGTTATTGCTTGCTACATTATCAGTTATATTATTAAGTATTTCTTGTTGCGCTTTTTCTTTTTCACGCACCGAGACCCGGGCAATTATTATTTTAGCTTCTTTGTTTAAAATATATGAATTTTTTTTGCAAT